AGTGGGAGGATCAGCATAAGCAGACCTCGGCGTACTTGGCGCCGAGACCAGAATAGCCAGTGAGGGTGGAAGGACCGGCGGAGGCCAAGAGGGGCGGTGCCCAAGATCGTCCATAATGATGCTGTTGCGTGGGGAACCAAGAATCTAGGCGTGGACTGGTCTGAGCGGATGTGCCAATGCAGCTGAATCTCACATGATCAAAAGAGTTCGAGTAATACACCTGATTACCCCGAAAATGTCCATGTAATGAAGTACTATACTCGCACGCTTAGGTCCAACAACGCAGGCCCCAACGGAGGCATTGCTTAACAGCACCGCAGAAATTAGAAGAAGGGAGCCTTCTCTGAAAATGACGTTTGAGATATCGGGCTCTATGATGCGTACTTTCTGTGTGCGTTGACGATGGCCTTCCGTGCTCTGTTGAATCATTCCAGAAGTTGGATGCCGAAGGTATATCAGTTTTCTTGGCTGGCTGGATGAGTGTCTTTGACAGTGGATTAGTTCTCCAAAGCTTGTCGCTTGACCTGATACTAGCCTTGCAAGCCCTCCCCGCCTCTCTCGCATGCTACGACCTGTGAAGAGTGGAAGCAAAAACCTCTTCGGTGATTTATCGAGACTTAGTGCAAGTGTGAACTTCAATGAATTCGACATCGAACGGCTGATACCGTTGCTGGGTGCAATACTGAAGGAAGAACCTGACGTGGTTGTTTGGATAAAGTCTACGAAGCCATTACTGAGCCAACGCCTCCTCCACAATCTGTATCGCTCCTGAATCAGACTCCATTTTCGCACAATACAAGCAGCGTTGTCAACTCCTCCGTGCACCGGAAGTATTTTGGCGCCGTGCTGAAAGACGAGCTTGGCTCAACCTTCGTTGGTGTGCTTGATTTCCATGACACATTCTTCGGGGATATTACTGGGCTGGAAGAAGAAGTATGTCTTATATTCGAAAAGTGTAAGGAAGGTGATTACCCTCTATATCTCGACGGAACTGGCTGGCGCGATTGGCCAAAGGATGCTCAAGAAAAGGATGTCCTGAATTGGCTCACACGAATATCGAAATTGCTCCAGGAGTTTGCCACTGAAGGGACTGCAGAACAAAGAGAGATACTGGCTCGGCCCTCCAAACCTTTGACGAAGATCAGCCCCGTTACGCGCCCCCCGGCCCCCGCCCTCCGCCTCCTCCTTCCTTGTAAACCAAGCTCCCCCGGTTAGTCACGCAGATCGTCTTCACTTCGCTGCAAAGATGGAGAGTCCAAAGGTTTTGGAGATGCTCTTCGGCGCGGTGCGGATGTTAATGCAAGACGAGAATGGTTATTCACCACTTTATTGGGCGAAGGGAACGCCCGAAGAAGAGAAGGTGGACATGCTGGTGGAATATGGTGCAGAATTGGAACCTCCCCTTGGCTCGTGACTCATACCAATACTGGCAAGTGGATGACGTTAAGCTGAAATTCCAAACAAGATTCAGTTCTTTTCACATCACGCTGGAGTATTACCCCATACCCATGCTGTTTTCTGTTCATCACCCCATCGTTGTTAATGTTTTATGTGATTAGAATGACTACTCTACATGGCATCTCAGTCTCAGTAGATTCCCCTCCATGTTTGTCATCATCCAAACCAACTCCTTCTATGTTATAACTCTCCAAATCAACCATCTAAGCATAACTGCTCGCAATGTCTTCAAGTCACTTGACAAGATTATCCATCCACCGAGTTAAAACGTGAGCCTCATCGGTCCCCCGTTGTAGGTAGTGTGAAACTCCAACATGCCGTTAAGAATAACCGGTCAATAATAGGAGTTTGAGTGAATTAGAACAAGAAGATCATCTCCAATGGTATCCTACGACTGACTCATTCTTTTCAAAGTAATAAGCTGACTCTAACACACAGTAGACCAGGTCACCAGCCATCTACGGGCAGTTGCCTAATGAGATACAATAGAAAAAGGGCAAGCTTCAGCTATTTGAAAGTCACAGCTTGGCAAAGGGGAATAAAATAGGAAAATAAGATCATCTAGTTTACTTAAAATAAACAGGATAGGAAAGAGAAAGACAGACTAAACTACCAGAGCCATGGATCAGGTTTCCATGCCTTATATAAATGTAGAGTATGGAAGACATCTATATTAGCGTTAAGAGCCTCTCCCTTTGCAGCAGCTATAGTTGTCTAGATCTTCTCCTTTATCTATCTATGTACCTAGCTAAAGGGAGCCACACAAAGTGGCTTAATACTCTTAGCAAAAGCTATGCTGTACCAGTGGGTAACTAGTAAAAACACCACCCTTTACTTACCATTAAATGTGGATAAACTATAGGCCAGATCCAGTATTAAGAGGGTTAAATCTGTCTGCAAGTTGGGCCTTCCTCTTAACCCTACCAACTATCATACTGTCTGCTTACTTCCTGCCCAGCTCTATATCCATTTCAGCCTCTTTAACAACCTCCTTGCCATCATCTTCATCATTAGTGAGCGCCATGACACAGACCTGGGCCGCTGAACTTAGTCCATTATCAAGCACAACATTGCCGCGAACTTCTAGTAACAAAAAACACTGCCTTCTTTGGAGGTTGCTAAGACTACTTTTCTTCCTATAAGCAGTATGGCAGGAATGCCAAGCAGAGCATCTATAAGTTCTGCAATGTATATTTTCATCATATATATCAACTTCTACTCATGCAACTATAGGAATATTATTATCATGCATAGTTACTATATCTCACAGGAGCTTCATTTAGATGGTCTACATAGAGCCTGGTAATCCTATAAAGTTTATCCCTCAAATACTTGACATCTCTATTAGTGACACCATCTGGTTCTATTCTTTAAATAGATTATTTTGCTCTACAACGTCAACACTAGCCTTGAACAGCCACACAACTATCTTGATACAGAGATGATGCCTATAAACATGTGATTTTCCACATAAATACCACAGAGCCATTATAGCTTATTAGTCTTCAAAAACAGGACGAATACCCTTGCTACCCATCAACTTACTTTACTTTGAACCCTGGGACTCAAATGAACAAGTTCTTTAATTCAATTAATCATAGTTGCATCACCATCACTCACCCTAGTACTGCTTCTCAGAGCACAATAACTGCAACTATTATGGTCAACCCAACCAGGGGTGTCATTACTACCTTAACCAGCTGAATGCTACCCTGGGGGTTTAATTAAATTTTAAAATAGCCAAGTACGGCTTCATGTGAAGGTCTTGTTTGCTAACGTAAGGATGATCATTAATCCTACCAATGTTGCGCAATGTTAGTGGAACACCGTGCTAGGATCAATTTCCTAGTGGCATCAATGTTCTGAAATGCTCTATTAGAAGTATCATTTCCAGATTATCAAAGATATCAGATCCACACAGTCAATAGAAGAAATAAATGCTCTGACATATCACAAAGAGTGGATCAAACAATATGCAGCATGTATTTTCTCAGACCTCATTAACCAGACACCTTGGTATCTAGTGCAGATAAAACCTCCATCTATAACTCGAATCCGATTTACCTTATATTAGAATAGCGTGTGAAGCATACATAGTAACACTTTTAAGTAAGGTCTGTTTAACAACAGCCAGAGACATTAGACCAGAACTTTGCTTGAGTACCTGTTCAGACTTAATGACAATTTGGAGCTACTAGCGACAGAAACAAATCGTCACCCGATCTAAGATTAAACCCTTCCTGCTATAATTATGTAAAACTCCTGTTATCGTGTACAAGTTCTACCAAAAACTAGGTCAGTACTCGAAGGGATTTGACCGAGGGGCGAAGCCGCGACGGAAATGGCGAAGCTCCCTCATCTACAGAGTAGCCATAGTAGACAGTCTAGTGGCACATTGAATACACTGATTACTATGCATGGTTTTCAAGCTGCTCCCTTTTGCATGCTAGAGACCACGAGTTCCTGCGACCCACTGCTCCCTCCGCTATTTCAGAATCGGCGCGGCAGTGGGTTTTCAACAATATATAAAGACCATCAATCCAGATTCAAGAGAAAATGTTCGACATATTTTTCCTTTCTCGGTTCAAGTAAAGACTAGTTTAACGACTACTCTATTACATCCTGGAAAGGATTCTGCTAACTAGTCTTCCTAGCTTCTTCTGTTGTGATTGAAAGGAAAGACTTTTGCCGCTTGGAGAGCATTTTTCGTGCGATGTGGGAGTTAGCTGAGCCCATATAGAAGAATCAAATCATCGACCTTGATGAAAAGAAATCCTGAGCCTTGATGGGGTTGTGAATCGAGGCTCTATCAAGTAAACAATAGAGCTTCGTAAACGGCATTTATTCCGTATAGAAGCAGATTGATTTTCAGTCAATCAGATGTATGAAAACCTTCCGAGTTTCAGATGAGAATAAGAACAATCAATCTTCCTCTGAATTACAACAGGTTATGAGCCTGAGAGCCATTTCTGGGACAGTCCAAAGAATCTTAAAAGTAGAGAAGATACACGCCGAGATTCAGCTGATTGTTTATTGTGAGCTGCAGACGCAAGTTTGCCACTGCGAGTGATATGCTCCAGCAAGAAGACCTATTTGCTATTAATCTCTTCATTCTGACAAACGGCAAGGTCTATACACCTGGGTCTCATGGAAGACTATACCCGGGCTGGCGGTTTCCCCTTCTCCCAACTCTGGACAAAGCAAAAGAGAATTTCAATGAGGCGCTTGAGGCCCACATAAGCCGGAGTCTTTCTACACTTTTCTGAAGACAGCAACAGATTACGTACCCATGTTTTAAGGAAAGCACGTTACTTATGTTACCAGTATCCATTGATCTACTCACTGCACAAATAACCTGAGCCTTCAAAACAATCACAAAGACCGTTTCGCAGAGCGATAATAGACGCTAATATATGCACCCTTTTGACTGGTGTACGCAAGGGAAATCCAGCTTTGCAATTGAGTACATTTACTGATGTCTTCCTCAGGACTATATTGTACTTAGTGCCTGACTAGTCAATCCATTCTAGAAGGTACACTTACTAGAGGTCACGTAGCACCGACAGATAAGATTCGGCTTGATCATGCCAGCCAAGGAAATGGAAGAACTTAGATAGAGCTTCTGCAACCTTGAGGTCATTCATTCCATGAACAGGGAAATAGAGCTTTGTCAATGGATGGGAAATGCCAGGTTGCAGCTCGTAATTCCAGGTTAAAGGGGGTTGAAATTTCTGCTGTGCTTCTTCGTTCACATCGAACTCCAATTCAACTGGCTGTGCAGTATTGTCAGTGCAACTTTTGAGCCCTAAAGTCTTCCACAGTTGCTTAATAAGCTTGATTCCTTCCGATATTTCTTCACCCTGTACCCTCCCTCCGAGGGACCACACTTCTTCCGCCTTTTCCAGGGAAATAGAAGTGCTCCCGCTATATACCTTCAGGCGCGATTTCTCTTTGGGGACATAGTCCCACGACAGGAAGGTATGCTTGATGTATCCGGAGCTCTTCGTCAGATAATCATGCATGAGATCGAAGGCTGCAGAGCAGGTCATTTGACGGCAGAGCCTGACAAGTGGTTCGCGCACAATATCCGACACCGGTGTCCCGGTAGCTAGGTGTTTGAGCAGGAGATGACAATACCCTTTGACGGTGATACATCCCCCAGCTTTGAGATCAAAACCGAAGGCACTGGGTGACTTCTGCTCTCCGCCCCGTTTACCATACCCACTCGCCTGGAGGTCTCTAATCTCATTTGCAGATGGGAAGAATGCATTGATGAGATAGTCGTGCAATTCCATGTCGAAAGACTCCAAGCCGAGGTTTGCAATATCGGACATGAATTTTCTGGTCGTGATCAGGTTGAATGGATCTTCGTCTGTCCCGGACACCACACTGACAGGTTCAAGTGCGACGCGGACTGTTTCTTTTCCATGTTTCTGATAGTTGATGCTGAACTCGAGAGGGATACCGAGCGTTGTCATTGTGCTCTTCCACCGCTGTGGATATGGCCCGAGAGAAGGAATGATATGCCCGAACATAAAGAGCAAGTACTGGTATTGGTCGTGCACGTCATACTGTGCTGCCTCAAGTAGGCGACTGAACAAAGGCGCAGTATCATTCTGCCACTGCGTGTGATGTTCAGTGGGTGAAGTCCAGTATCTCGCAAGAGCTTCGATTGGCGACAGGGTAACTCTGTTTGTGTATTCTGCTTCCCCAGACTCACTGTGTCTTTTGCACGCTAGTCCACATCTAGAGTTGATAGCCATTCTATGTACGGAAAGGGTGTCAATGTATTCTCCGCTTAGGTACACAGGACTCCTTGGAATTCTGATAAGAGCATCAAGTTGCGCAACGCGCAACATATATATATGTGCTCCTACTTGACCCAGCCGCGGCCAACATGGGTCGGCTGTTATATCTGCATGAACCAGTCCAATTTAGCTAATTGTTCTCTTGATTTGTATTGGGTAGAGAGACTGTTGATAATCGCTCACCGCTGGTTCCTTATCGCTCAAGATGAGAAACGCTTCTGGTCCTGATGATATAGCTGCACTGACCCCTTGGTAATTGCATTCCGCTACTTTTTGCCTCTAACCACTACAGCGGTAAGGAGCACTTGCACTTTATAGACTAGTTATGAAACCCCCTTGATTGCTATCTACAACAGCAATGCTGTGCTTCAAATATTACACAAGCCACGTAGGCAACTGTCGCTACGAAGGTCCAAACGCATCGTTTTCCAGACCATTCGTCCACTTTCTACTAAGGCTTGGCATTCTAGGTCTGTGAAAGCAGATCTCGTTGCGTGGAAGTCAATGCTTGCTCCTAGGCTCTCCTCTCAGGACGGCACTGGTGGAATAGTTACGTCTCCAGCGAACATGGCCGAAAAAGCACGGGGTGGTCAGACCTAAATGTCTTCGGACCCCCTTGCATGCCACGTATGTGGACAGAACTGGCCACTAAGCGGAGTGAAAACTTACTGCCACAATAACCAATAACTTCTAGACTAAAGGTTTATGTACGCGCCTTGCAGAAAGAGAACACGGATTGATTTTTGCTCGAGTCGTGTTCGGAACACTGCCAAAGCTGTAAGATATAAATGGTCGTATAGGAACCTCCACACGCCAGCTCTCATAGTGGAAAAAAATTATGCCAGTCAAATGCGTACTGTGAATATCTAGTAATGATAGTCATGGATAGAAGAAAGGACGCAGCAGGTCCTTACACCTGAGTGCATATCCCTGCACAATGTGGAATCTTCTGAATGAGATTAAGCAATATTTCTCAACATATCCCACACAAACTTCCACAGCGCTGAAGAGTCATGTGTATGAAATGCAGCACCAGCATAGTATGTATTCCGGTGTCCCTGCAAGGCATACAAATCCCTATAGAAACCATTTGCAATCTGCTCACCTGAAACAAACAGCTCAAATGGACAGTGATTATTGAACGCCAATATTTCAGGCTCAGAGATGTTATACCCTGCGACTCGTAGTTTCAGGACATCATCTCTAATTCTATTTCTCACCTCATCTTCTCTCATACCCTCCCAACCCCCGTAGTTAAGAGCATAAAACTCTGGCATAACAGTTGGTGTGATAGCGTATATGCCAGGAAGATGGGGGAGATTATGCAGTGTATCTTCGCCGCGGTTAAGTATTTGCTTTCCAGCGGGAAGACCGGTAATCTTGGTCAGCGTGGTGTAATGGTGACTATAATTGAACTGGCCAAAGATAGCTCTCTCATGATCATCCAGGTCGAAGTTCTCCAAAATTTTCACAATCGGTGGGACGGTGATGATTGTCTTCTTTGCGCGGATAAGTCTGAGGCCATTGGGGGTTTGAACTAGAATCTGATGTAGATCATTCGAAGACCGACTCATAGCCACTATCCTGCTGCTCAATAGGGCATCATCTCCTAATTCCTCACGCGCTGCTTGGTATAATGCTCCATTATTATGCTCTGTTGTGACCAGGTACCCATTCTCAATGCCGTTTGCCACCGCAGGGGTAAAAGACTTCATAATGTAGACTGTTGGATAGGATAACCAGTCACCCACACCTTGGAAGAATCCTGTAAGGGTCTCCACTGCTGGCCCAAGGTCGTATTTTTCAATAAAATCCCCGAATGGAAGCAACAGGTCGCCTGGCACTGGGTCTGGAAGATCCCAACCGTCAGAGAGATAAGGATACTTAGCCAGCTGCTCCTTATATCGCATCATCGCCTCAGTCTTATTACCTGGCGGCGAGGACACACTCACACCAGTATGCAGGTCGACCAGCACACTCTCAGTGAGTCCTGAGAATACCTCAATGGCGGTGGGAATGTTGAAGTGGGCGAAGTAATCCCTAACCTCGGGGATATCCTCGTAGACAATAACACCATAGTCTATGTATTTACCGCTGATCGGGTCGTGATAAGTGTTGGTGTGGCCGCCAAGTAGCGGCTCCTTCTCAACTAAAGCGACGCTGTGGCCCGTTTGGCGTAGTTTGATGGCGGTGTAAGTGCCGGATGAGCCACCTCCGATGATACAGAAATCGCGGATGATGGGGTCTGAGTCAAATTGTGGTGGATCAATGTCGGGGCCTGTACTAGCCAGCGCGGTGGCACACCCCAAGAGGGTAACCAGAAAGGAGGGCACGAATATGGCGTCGACTCGCATGATGTAAGGATGTGTTTTAACTGCGAAGTTGGCCGGGAAAAGGATCCTATCATACGTCTTACATATGCTGTAAATGGTTGTGGGCCTCAAGGGCCCCAAATAGCAGAGGGGATGTATGTGTAACATTCCCCAGATATCACATTTTTCGGTGACATTATTGCAATGAACCATGTGATAAATACACTCGCGTAAAGCAGGAATCTGAAGTAAGTGCAAGGTAACAGGTATGCCTCCCAGCGACACTCTTGTAGGACCCCTTTGGCCAGCATAGCGACTTTGACGGCTGACTCCTTGCATAAGGTATACACCCAATATTTTACACTGACCACTTGCTGCAATGTCTGCCTGGACCTTACAATGGAGTGGGAGACTAGTGATCAGTGTGAGCTGCGACTAATTTCCTCGTGCCGTGATCCCGCTCGAGGGCTGTCAGACATCCCAGAGGGAGGAAATAAACAGCATACCCAAATATGTAAGGGCAGCTTCAATCTCCCAACTAGAGTATGAGCCCTCTGTAACATTAATTACGGCACTAAAGTAGACAGCTAACACCTTCTGGTTGCATTGCTAGCCTAGTCCACTTACCTTCAATTGCCTCCGATTTCTTCAATTTCTTGAATCACTAAGCTCTCTACGAGTTACTACATATCAAAATGGATTATGAAGTACCATGGGGCGGAATTTCCCCTAAAATCACTGATCATGCGACGGACGAAGAACAAATTTGTGCACACGAAGTTTCAGCTGTCCCGATTTCCGAGATTCAAACGTTCTGTTCGGCAAATAACATAGCAGTCGACAGTTTCTACCTAGCCGCGTGGTCCATTGTTCTGCATGCTTTTGCTGAGACAAACTATATCTGTATCGGGGTCGGAGATTCTCGTCAAAGGTGTCGAGAGTTGAATCCTAAGCCGATGACCGTCTACTGTTCAACACTTCGACCTGACATTCCAACGATAGAAATACTCAGGGGATGTAAATCTGCCAACCGCAATGTCTCGTTTGGCGAAGAAAGACAAGATCATAACACAGGGGTGATATTCACACGGGCAATTGCGCCTCTGGAGTTGTCATGGCTCAAAAAGGTGAGCATGGTTCCTTCTGAGAGAACCCTAAAACCGGCCAAAATGCTGACTGTGACTCGCCATGGAGCAGGGTCCGTACGATCTGATGATGGCCGTTCTGTTTGGAGATTCGGCCATCGTCCCAGAGAAGTTAACGCTGCTCTACCGGTCAACACATCTCCCCTCACGTCTTGCTCCGCACATCTCTTCCACAATCTCACAGGCCATGAAGCAGATGATGATGTACCCCAAGCAGTGCATTAAGGACATAGATCTCTTCAGTACCCTTAACCAAAATCAACTCCGCCGCTGGAACAGAGTTCAGCAGTCACCAACGGCATCAGTGTTGGAATTGATCCATGGACATGCGCGGGCCGACCCTGACCATCTTGCGATTGTTGCTTGGGATGGAACTATAACGTACTCGCAACTGGAATTGCTTACATCACAGTTGGCAAGCCACCTTCAAACTTGCGGGATTGGACCTGAATGCCTGGTTCCAATCATGGCAGATCGTTCCATGTGGGCCGTAGTTGGGGAGCTAGCAATCCTAAAAGCGGGAGGCGCTTTTGTGCCCATAGATCCTTCTCAACCTGTGGAGAGAGTAAAGAGCATGATGGTACAAGCCAATGCTAAGATTGCTCTTTCCTCGCCACATCTAGTGGGCAGTCTCTCCAGCCTTGTTGACACCGTTATCGCCATATCCCCAGACACAATGTCAAGGCTTCCTAAGCCCCGGTGCGATGCAGTCTATTATGCCTGCCCTGATCGCACGGCCTATGTGCTCTTCACTTCGGGGAGCACCGGCCAGCCTAAAGGATGTGTTGCTGGGCTGACGGCATTAAGCGATGTAGTGAACCAGACTGCAGCGCTCAAGATCAACAGTGAGAGTCGAGTGCTACAATTTGCCTCGTACAGCTTTGGGATGTCTTTGATTGAGATCTACTGCACCCTAGCAGCTGGTGCTACCATTTGCATTCCGTCAAAGAAAGACCGGTTAAATAATTTGAGCAATGCTATTAAAAAGATGCGGATCACCTGGGCCCTTCTTACTCCATCAACAGCCATATCCCTGGGTGGCTCAGTAGAATGCTTGAAGACGCTTGTTTTGGCGGGGGAACCTATGGGCATCGAACATATCCAGCAGTTAGCAAGTCGGCTAGAGCTACTTCAGGCATTTGGATTCACCGAATGGGCCGGCATTTGTTGCGTCTCGCAACCGATCAAGTCTGAGGCTGATATCCGATCCATCGGTGTCTCGCCCACGGCGAGTCTATGGCTCGCAGATCCCACGGACTGCAACAAGCTGGCTCCGGTTGGCGCTGTTGCTGAACTCCTGGTTGAAGGGCCGGCATTAGTGGAAGGCTATCTCAAAGACGTTCCGCAGACAGCTACAGCGTTCATTGAAAGCCCACCCTGGCTCCGCACGCTACGTCCTGAGAAACATGTTGGGGTCAGAATATACAAAACGGGTGACCTGGTGCAATATCAAGCCGATGGAAGCATCCGGTACGTTGCACGGAAGAGCACCCAAGTGAAAATCAGGGGCATGAGGGTTGAACTTGGAGAGGTAGAATACCAGATCCGACAATCAAGCCCGCAGCTGGAAAAGGTCATTGTTGAAGCCGCGGCTCCAGCAAAATCTAACGGGATCCCTATCCTCGTCGCTTTTTTGTACTCGGCTAACCCAGCAGCACTAACGGGACAGTCTCTTTCACACTTGCTCGCGATGATCAGGAACAGATTGGAGCAGACTTTGCCAGAATATATGCGGCCCGCCGTCTACTTTCCCTTGCATTCAGTCCCTGTGACTATCACAGGCAAAGTTGATCGACGTGCTCTTCGTGCATTTATTCTAATATCCACCCGCAAGGACCTGGAGACGCACCAAACCCCTACATCTCCTACAGTTGCACCGAATACCAACGTGGAAAAGGTATTGCATCGCCTTTTTGCAGAAGTACTGAACCTCGACTTGTCTTCCTTTGGCATCCATGAGAGGTTTATTCAGTTGGGCGGCGATTCGGTGACTGCCATGCTTCTCGTCAACAAATGCAAGAAGCATAGCTATAGGCTGACTGTGGCGACGATTCTCAGAGAGCAAACTATATCCAAGCTAGCTCTGCTCATCGATCAGCCGACCGCAATTGAGGGCCACTTCTCTCCATCGATGGAGATGTCCTTGGTCAAAGAACCGGCCGCTGGACTTGTCGAGAAGATCGAAAGGAATCCCGTAATAGATGAATATGTTCCTATCGCCAGCGTCCCTTACTCTGGACCTCTCGAGCAGTCCTTTTCCCAGGGCCGCCTATGGTTTCTGGAGCAGCTTTATCCCGACTCAATATGGTATTTGCTGCCGTTTGCAACGAGGGTTCGAGGACCGCTCCAGCTGCGTGCCCTTGAAATAGCGGTCTCTGCTCTTACAGAGCGCCACGAAACACTTCGCACAGTATTCGAGGACTGTCGTGGCATTGGCCTGCAGATTGTTCGGCCCTTCACGGAGAAGCCATTGACGGTAGTTGACATACCTTCTGGGTCAGAAGCCGGTCTTAGGGTAGCCCTTCACCAGCAACAGACCACGCCGTTTGATCTGACCAGGGAGCCGGGATGGCGAGTAGCAGTCTTCCGCATGGGCCCCGATGACCATGTGCTTTCGATCGTCATGCATCATATCATATCCGATGGATGGTCAGTAGACATCCTTACCAAGACGCTAGGCATATTCTATGCCGCGGCTCTCCGGGGTGAGCCACCATTAGCCCGAGTTGAGCCACTCCCAATCCAGTACCGGGACTTCTCCGTTTGGCAGCGGCAGGAGGGACAGACCGTTGAGCACGAAATGCAGCTGGAATACTGGGTAGACCAGCTTGACGGTAGTCAGCCGGCAGAGTTCTTATGTGACAAGCAAAGGCCAGCCATGCTCTCAGGTGTGGCAGGTTGCCAGGATGTTAAGATAGATGGCTCGCTTTACCAGGACCTACAGCGATTCTGCCGGAGTAGCCAAACAACCGCCTTTACCGTTCTTCTTGCTGCATTCAGAGCTACCCATTATCGGCTGACAGGGGTCGAAGACGCGACAGTCGGTATTCCAATTGCAGGTCGCAACCGGCCGGAGCTGGAGGGGCTCATTGGCTTTTTCGTTAACGTGCAATGTATCCGGATAAGGGTAGAAGATCAATCTTTCCAACAACTGGTTCGCCAAGTCCATACAACCACCGCAGCTGCATTTGAGAATCAAGATGTTCCCTTCGAGAAAATCGTGTCGAAGTTACAGAAAGATCGCGACATGTCTCGTCATCCGCTCGTGCAGGTTACATTTGTGGTGCACTCGCAAGCAAACTTCGGGGAGTTCTCTTTTGAGGGTTTAGAGACTAGAAAGCTCAGCCTCCCACAAGTCTCAAGGCTTGATCTTGAGTTTCACCTGTACCGAGGCCAAGAGTGCCTTACAGGTAACATCCTTTATTCGGAAGACCTGTTCAATCCCGAGACCATAAAGGTCATGCTTTCAGTGTTTTATGATGTCCTTCTGCAAGGCATCAGTCAACCAGATACGCAAATTGGCTCTTTACCTCTGACAGACGGCTATTCCGCGCTCTCCGAGATGGGACTAATCTACCCAGAGCCCAGGGACTATCACCAGGAGTGGAATATAGTCGACCTCTTCCAACGGCAGGTTGCTGCTACCCCACACCAAATCGCCGTCAAAGAGACCTTCTTCCAGTTGACCTATAATGAGCTGGACCAACGATCTACCCAGGTCGCCCTCTGGCTGACCCAACAGTCATTCATCAAGGAAACTGCTATTGGAGTGTTAGCCAATCGATCTTGCGAGACTATTGTCGCTCTCCTGGGTATTCTGAAGGCAGGATTAGCATACGTCCCATTGGACCCCAAACTTCCCATTGAGAGAATGAAGACGGTCCTTTCATGCTTGCCAAGCGGCAACCTTGTTCTTTTAGGATCAGGAATTACGGTCCCTCCTATACCAGGTCGAGGTTGTCGATTCCTCCATATTGCAGATACTTTCGCTGGGACCATAAAGAAGGTCAATAAATCCCAGACCCCGCTTCTACCAATTTGTCCCACAAGTCTGGCATACATTCTGTTTACTTCCGGCACAACGGGAAAGCCCAAAGGAGTCATGGTCGAACACCGTGGCATAGTTCGACTTGTTAAAGATGCAAATATCATCAATCAGTCAGCTAACTCCAAAGCTATTTCCCACATGCTGAACCCGGCTTTCGATGCCTCCGGACTGGAGATATACACCGCGCTTCTGAATGGTGGAACTTTGATCTGCCTTGACGCCCAAGCAGTCTGGGACTATGCCATGTTGGAGCAGATCTTTGCCAAAGAAAACATCCGAATCGCATTTATGACAACGGCTATGTTGAAACAGTTTCTCACCCACTGTCCAGCCATAATTGGCTGCCTAGAAATTCTATGTCTCGGGGGAGATCGACTGGACCGGGAAGATGTTGCCAAGGCGAGGAAGTTGGGAGAAGCCAAAATCATCAATTCATATGGGCCCACTGAGAATTCAGTGGTCAGCACCATGTATTGCATTCCACCGGACGAAGAAGCCATCAATGGTGTCCCGATTGGTCGGCCAATCATTGATACGGGCGCTTATGTGATGGACCCAAAACTCCGACTTGTGCCCATCGGGGTCATGGGAGAGCTCGTTGTCACTGGAAGTGGGCTGGCTAGAGGCTATACTAATCTCGAGCTCAACGCCGGCCGCTTTCTTACGGTGGATATCGGTGGGCAAGTTACCAGGGCGTACCGGACGGGCGATCTGGTTCGGTACAGGCCCAGTGATGGCCAGTTGGAATTCTTCGGTAGAATGGACCAACAGGTCAAAATCCGAGGCCATCGCGTCGAGCTGGCGGAAATCGATAATTCTCTTCTCACGCACCGCTCGGTTGATTCTGCTGTGACCGTGCTTCAGATGCTTGGGGACCGAGACCAAGAACTCGTTAGCTTTGTCACAGTCCATGACATGCACGATTTGGAGACTGGGCCTAAGCAGCCCGGTACCCAGAGCGAGGTCGAGCAAGTTGACGCTTGGGCGAGCCTCTTTGATGGAGATACGTATGACAGCCTTGCTTCTATCCAACAACACGAGCTCGGCAAGGACTTTCGTGGCTGGACGTCCATGTATGATGGAGGGGAGATTGATAGGATGGCAATGGAGGAATGGCTAGAGGACACCGTTGCATCCATACGAAGTGGTAGCCATGTAGCCACCAGTGCTCTGGAAATTGGAACAGGGAGCGGCATGGTCCTTTTCAATTTGGTCCATGATTTCCAGCAATACATGGGCTTGGAACCATCAGCCAAGGCAGTTCAATTCATCCATGAGTCACTCCGCTACGTCCCCGAAGTTGCAGAAAGAGTGTATCTCCAGCAGGGCACAGCCAGTGATATTACCAGCCTTGGAAGCCCCGGCCCAGTCGACATCGCTATTGTTAACTCAGTGGCTCAGTACTTCCCGTCCGCCAGGTATTTGCTCGAGACTATCAAAGACCTGGTGCAATCGCAAGGCGTGAAGTACATCTTCTTTGGCGACATACGGTCCTACGCACTGTATCGGGAATTCCAAGTAAGCAAAGCCCTCCACCAATATGGAGAGGGAGCAAAAATTGACGATATTCAACACGTGATGGCTGAAACTACCCATATGGAGGAAGAACTGCTCTTGGATCCGGCCTTCTTCACCGCGCTGCCAACCCAGCTGCCGGAGCTGATAGAACATGTGGAGATATTACCAAAGCGAATGAAGGCAACGAATGAACTCAGCAGCTACCGCTACGCAGCGGTGCTATATGCCAAAAACAAAGCCACCCGTCCACTGCGCGTTCACGACGTCGAAGAGAGCTCCTGGGTTGACTTTTCCGCTGCGAGTTTAGATCGCCAGTCCCTTTTAGAGCTTCTGAGCGGGAATAATCAGACCTTAGTCCTTCCAGTAAGCAATATTCCCTATAGCAAAATTAATCTGGAACGACATATCGTCGATTTCCTGCAGGAAGGGACGATGAAGGCTGGTCATCATTTTTGGGTCCAGAACATCCGTCAGCAGGCCGAAGACTGTCCATCACTGGCAGCAGTTGACTTGATAGACCTCGCTCAGCAGATGGACTGGCAAGTCGAGATCAGCTGGGCCAGGCAACACTCGCAGCGAGGGGGCCTGGACGCAATCTTTCATCGTATCCAACCCGACCGGAAGGGGGCGCGAGTCCTATTTCGGTTCCCGACTGATCACCAGGGTCGGCTCATGAGTACCTTGAGCAATAATCCCTTGGAGCTGCGGCTGTGTCAGAAGATTGAAAAGGAGTTGGCGATGTATTTGCGCGCCAGGCTTCCCTCATATATGGTGCCAAAGATGATTCGTGTGCTGGACCGGATGCCAATTAACAATAACGGCAAGGTGGACAGGCTGGCCCTTGCACGAAGAACTGATATACCTGCGCTGCGCAGAGCTATCCAAACAAAATTGTCATTCCAAAACGACATTGAGCGTGCACTCTGGGAAGAGTTTACCGACGTACTCGGGGTGGAAGTCGGCATCACGGACAGCTTCTTTGACTGTGGCGGGCATTCCTTGATGGCTACCAAAGTGGTCTCCAGGATCAACCATCGACTTCAATCTAACATAAAAATCAGTGATCTCTTTGCGCGTCCCACAATTGCGTGCCTCTCTGAGCGAGTCCAGGAGCTCCGTGTTTCCAATGAGTCCAGCCCTTCCTCGACGGTTCAACCATTCTCGCTTCTGTATGATAACCTCTCGTCCACCAATTCAATCGCACTCGGAGAGCTGGGATTGAGCCCCGGTACTGAGGTTACAGACATACTTCCGGTGACAGAGGCTCAGGCATGGTTCCTTACTCAATGGAGTCGGGTGTCAAATTTCTTCGTGATCAGTGGCGAGGTTGATATCGGTCGATTACGGACGGCCTGCGAGGCAGTTGTGCAGAGACATGCTATTTTACGCACGCTGTTCACCAAGTTAAACGGCCGCCTTGTCCAGGTTGTCTGTCGAGCTGTCACTAGTCCCTTCGTCCATCAGCACACTGACGGTGACTTGGGATTAGCTTGCAGACTCTTTTGCGAGGATGGTGATAGGACCCCATTGGTTCCAGCAAAATTGCTGACCAGGTTTGCGCTGGTTTCTCGGTCTCCAAGGGAGCATCTTTTTGTTGTGCAGTTATCTCATGCCCAGTATGACGGACGCTCGCTAGGTTCCATTCTGTCTGATATATCTTCAGTATATGGCGTTGGTTCGCCGTCGCTACCGACCGCAGTACCGTTTACGCAATATGTCCATGCATGCGTGCTGTGTCCCTCATCTGATGCAATCAGTTTCTGGAAAGAGTATCTAGGAGGCGCATCTCTGACTATTTTGCGTCCATTGACGGCTTGTGTAGACGCTGAACCTGCAGATATCACAAGAGCAGCGGCGGGCGAGCTTCCCACTCCACCAGTTGGCATCACAATTCCAACGCTGGTGAATGCTGCAATCGCTTTTACACTCGCTAGCCTTGTCAACAGTGACGATATCACATTTGGACTTGTGATAAATTCCCGCGATATACTTGACCAAGCAGCAGACTCAGTTGTTGGGCCATGTGTCAACCGCATCCTCGTCCGCACTCTATTACAACCGGACTGCACCGTCCTCAACTTTTGTCGCAAGTTGCGTGATGAAACTGGAAGACTCGCCGCGTACAGTCAACTGAGCTTGCAAGAGGTCATAGACAAGTGTACCAGTTGGCCATCTAGCTATGCATCTGCCCCATTCGTGACTCATCTACCAGAGGATGCGAGCCCCTCCTTCTCCTTGAAACGTACAAATATTTCATATATTTCAACAGCAGTACGCCTTGATCCAGCCAACCACGTGTTTGTCCGGTCAAGCTCCGTCAACAATCAGCTCTCCATACACGTTCTCAGCTCGAGCACTCTGATGGATGACAAAGGGATTTCGTCGCTCGCTTCCCAGATTGTGAAGACAGCCCAAGCATTCTGCAACTCACCGCACGAATGTCTCGGGTTAATGGGACTCTAATTCCAAACAAAGCATCCGAATCCCCAGATATGCATATCAGGTATGCTGAGGTGCATCATCCTCGGTATTCGTGCTCTGGTTTACTTCTCATTATCTGACCCAACTTCACCCTCACCTTTCATTATCTGCGGCTCCTGTTACCTGCAGATGACCCAACATTAGCCCTGTATTTAGCTCCTGTTGGCTTGTTCTTGCTGTAATAATTCAACATTATCTCTATAGCTTGCAATGGACTTTGTTTGACTTTGGTTAGATACTTCTAATTACATCGGTTTTTCCGGGATCACTTTGATTCAGCCATGGCTACTGCAGGGGCTATCACTATGTAGATTTGGCGCCTTAGATAAAATCAAAGCATCCTTGAAGTCCAAGCAATGGAACATAAAAAGATGTCCTTGAAGGCACAAGAATGATCAGCTGTGCCCATATTCGTCTATTTCAACTTTCATCCGTGAAAATGGAGGGCAGAAATGTTATTATTACTGACTTTGCGTTACTTAATTAGGACCAGATCTTATGGCTCAGGGACTAAGGTGCCATCAAGCAGGACATCAAGTTGGATGCTGGCCATGTATGGCGTGGGAAGTGGGAATGGGCCCAAATTATCCTGCAGCATTCACAGACCCCTGTCTAGGCTCAAGAATATTAACGTGGTATTACAGTTCATCTTCGCGCTTCCCTTACCTTGCGTATCACAATAGATTGCCCAATTCAAGCCAAGGAACCATATCACTTTATCCTTGACAGTTGAATATGCGCACAATGTCTCAACCAGGAAGGGTATTCTGAATACAGCATGTCTCCTGAAAAGTCGACGAAAACAAGCTTTTTTGTGAAAATTATCAGCGCAGAATAAGTCTAAAATATCTAGACAATGAGTGTCTTCAGCTGTATGTGTCGGCGCTCGGTGCTTAAAAGTGATTGGCGAACTTGCATTTAATGTGAGAAGTTCTTGTACCCATCCCTGCAGACTCCGCGAATTGCCGCAGCATCGACGGTCGTGGAATGGTAGGAGCAGACTGTACGGAAACGACTGACTGCCCGAAAAAGATAAGGCTAAATCATATTCTATTGGATGGCGCCCGAAGTTGGTGCTTTGTTGACTTGTGACCTACCATCAGTACAGCACAATCAAGGGGCATCTCCTGCTCGCCGGACCCGGAAGATAGCGCCGGAGTAATTGCACCATGAGCCAAGACAGAGCAGCTGGATTGCGAGGACGGGAACGTGAGTCCGTTCCACTTTGATCTTCGCTTACAACACTCAGTCATGCAAGATGATTGGACAGGTTAGTGTTGGCTGAGCCAGCTGTCTGCCCCGCAGAGATGATTGGTGGATAACGCCCCCCCTCTAGGGATGAATGATCCTCATGAATCATGCAGAGACGACACATTGCTGAAGAGAGTTGGCTGATTGATTAGGCGCCACCTCCTGAGCCTTGCAGAAGGTTCAGTGCGGCAGGAGGTTGAAATCTGCAAGCACCGGGGTGTTTATGCTCCCGATGGACCGAGAAGGATCCGTTTCCTTGATTCTCATGCCGTCTTCCAGAGTGTGTAGTAGTATCAGCTCATACCGAGCTACGGCTAATTTGACCCTGGGCCGTAAGCTGAAGATGGTGGGTTCTGATTCAGTGATAGAGTCGTTCTGGCGTTCGTAGCAAGTGAACAGATATGTGTCTGCGACGGAGTTGAAAGTTGAACCGGTAGAGAACGGACGTCGCTAATCTACCCCACCATCATCTGAGACACAGAGTCGAGTCCTCAGCTTAAGTAGCCGTCAAATACTCATTATCCTGCAGAGCAACTTCGTATTCTAGCGTACAAAGTACATTCGAGGCAGGGATAAAAAGTGGGAGGGTCAATCAGAGGGACCGCTAAGCGAGCGAAGCCCATAATGCCAAGTAGCGTATTCCGATCGGCCACTTAAATGAATTCTATTAGAGTGGTGTCATTCGTTCTCGGCCACATTTTCTCCCTCGTCATTCTACCTCGACCAGGGTTGTTCCTCGTCAATCAATGCATTTAAAAGACATCCATTCTCTTCCTAAGTCCCCAGGCTATAGTCCGAGTACACGTGGCCACGGTAACTGCGTTTGTAGCACCAATGCAGCTCACAGTCAATCCTACCCACTAGCTAGAGTCTTGGCTAGGTTATCTCGCTTGCCAAGGGAGAATAAGACTTCTTAGGCCTTTGGATGCGATTTCAGAGGGGATCTTCATGGACACGACCCGGTTTATCCATACGGCTAGTGACTTAGTGTCCGTCAATTCTCTCGCACGGACTGTAATTGCGATTCTGACAATTCCCTAGCCAGGGGCGCAATCTAGAATCAATCTACTCTATACTCGATAAAGCTACTTCGTGGTCGCTAGATGTGCAGAAGCGAGAGACCTCGTATTCAGGGTCGCAGATATTGCAGACGAAGCCGTTTGCCATGTGCCACACGAAGGAGGAATGAGGAAACCGCGCAACATGGAAATGATAAGGGCGGGTTTTATTCTCCCAGGATCAGCACTAGTCAAGTGCCACAACTGCACGCCATCCAATAACCTCCGAGGATTAGTCCTGCGCTGAAGCCCGTGACGGTTCCTTTGTAACAGAGGAGAACCACATCCTTCCACAACCTTGTATTTAATTCGATTATTCATAGTGTCCCGTGCATTGTGCAATCTGTTCCCAATTCTTACACGACAAACCTGGTCATGCAGTGAGCAAATCGGGTAGGCCTGTCAGAGCGGCTGGAGGCTGACATTCTCACCAACATGTTGCAGAGCATCCCATTCGCTCATACTCAGCAAGACCATAAGACGAGGCTAAGCTACTCTGCCATAGGCTGCACGCTGGCGAAGTCTTTCTTGGGGCTGAAAATTGAAATTTCCCGTAGCCTGCATTCCTCCCAAGATTGTAGTGCTGAATAGCCCCAAATAGCACAGCCCCTGTAATATCACGCATCGGCTCTAAGGTGCCGGAATTTAGACCAGGTGGCTTGTTACTACTGGAATATTCTTCTCAATGAGCGCGCGTGCAATGAAACTGATAGATAATGGGATCAGCAGGGCATCTATAAAGAACCCTGTCAGCCATGTTTTTCCCACAGGCTTGGCCTTGTAGAGGAGATCCGGGTTTCGCCTTCGGCTACGGCTCGTTGACTTGTGACTCGTATTCGAGACAAGGGAAAAGAGGTGCGTCCTGTCAGATGGTGCTACTAGCAGCGTGACTACGCTAAATTGCTTCGTCAGGCTCAGCTTATTCCCATTTTTACAGGATAACTACCCTTGGCTGTTTTGTCTTTCCTCTGCTAGGCTCTCAATCTCTAAAGGACAACCAGACGACATCTATCTCGACATGACAGTTCAGACGTCCTCTCCGAACCCTGCCGCAGAGTTAGATTTGGGCAAACCCAACCCTCCTGCCCCAGCAGGCCAGTCACAGCCGAATCCCCCGCCAAAGAAAGGAAAAGACAAGAAGATCTTCAGCTGCCACTCATGCCGACGGCGGAAGCTCAAATGCGATCGATTTGACCCGTGTGGTGCCTGCCAGGCGCGAGGAGAGGGTCATTTGTGTACTTGGGAGGAGGGACAAAGACCAGAGTGCGTCCCTGCATACAGGAGTACACCCAGAAAGTCTGACATAGTGTAGACGAAACCACCGAGAAAGCCTCGAGCAACTACCGAAACTGATTCTCAAGTTAACTGAGGAGGTCCAGGAGCTCAAAACGTCGAACTCGGCCTTGGTCGAGAATATCAGGAGTAATGGCAAGGAGCTTGCGGAGAGTCTGGACTTGGCTTCGCTGGACTCCAGACCTCCATCCCACTTGAGGTCGGGGAGCAGTTCTGCAGGCTACATCAGCTGGGGTACGTTGGCCTGCCTGATTACCCGTTTAAATTGACCAACGTACAGACTTGCCATGTCGAATGCCTGATCACAAACAATGGACACCATCACAGCTGATCGCATTACTGCCGGAAAGCCAAGTGCTCTGGGGCCTGATTTCGCATTACGTGAGTATTTACTGTCGCGTCAACATCCTGAAACCGTCTGACTTGTACCATGGCTTAGATATCCGCCTCTGCGTCGCTGACTAGCTTTATCGATGTGCACCAACTCGTCTGCGATGTCGAGGAGGTTCAACATCTACGACAGGGCCTGGACCTCTCTAGTTCCTCAGCTTCGCTGGGACATCTCGACATCAAGGTTTCCATGATCCTAGCCTGCGCCAGCCTCGCAGCCGTGGACCTGGATCCAGGGAAAGCGCAGGAGCTGGGGCTCGTCAATACAGACATTGACGCCCTGGTCCGCGATCTATGGAAAGGCTCGCGGACACTGATATCGAGTTCGGAGCTAGACTCACTCCTTCCCACCTCTAAAGCCGTCCTTTCTGAAGGCCGAGCAGCGCCACCGCTGGAGACCAACAGCGACTTACTCCAGCAAAGCGGAGCCCGCATTGCAGCAGCCACAGATATCCCGCTGCAGGTTGTCTCCATCAGGATTCTCCTCCTGCTCGCCGCCCGATCATTTGCCACACCATCCGAGTACCTCAAACTCCACCTGGACGTCATCTCTTCCGCCATCGATGCCTCGCTCGACTCCCCCTACGACGAGGGAATCCCTCTTATTGACCGGGAACGGCGCTGGCAACTCTGGTCTTTCATCTGCTTGCTGGATTGGACCTCCCCCGGCATCTACCACAGCAGCAGCTACTTCATCCGGCCAGAGATGCACCGCACCCCACCTTCCAAGGTCCCTGGCCTCCCAGACGACGGGAGCTATCCCTCCGCCATAGAACAAGAGCACTGGGATCGCCTCAGCCAGACGAGACATTACTTGGAGTACGCACTAGCCCTGGCCCACCTCTCCCGCCGCGCAGAGGACTGCATCGTCCGTCCCGGTCCTGTATCCCCCGCCCAGGCTGCAGAGCTCTGCACCGAGCTCGACGCCCTGGATAACAAACTCTCTTTCTACCAATTACTCGGCAGCACAGTCCCAGATGGCGGCGCTTTCAATACCGGCGGTAGACCGGTCGATACCACCTCCATCACCGGGGATCTAGCCACCGACAAACCCAGCACCGAGCACCGGCGCTTCCTGGCGCGCGCGCCCCTGATTCAAAACATGCACCTGAGCCTAGAGCTCGGCCTCATCCGCTTCAAGCTCTTCCGCCACGAGGTCTTTCACCTCATGCAGGCGCCAAGCACCTCGGGGACCTTGCGCATGATATGCATGGACGCCTGCATGGACGCCTGCATCCTCGTCCTCGCGCAGTGCTGGAGTATCGGTAACCGCGACGTGCCCGGTGTCCAGGCGCAGTCGCAGTCGCAGATGTCTCTTGACCCGAGCGAGGAGAAGCGTCCCTGCACGGGAAGTCTACGGCGGGTGCTGCAACCCGCGTCGTCGGCAGCGCTGGTGGGTCAGGTTCTGTTACATGCTGCGCAGGGGGCGGATGGGATGGGGATAGGGCCAGGGAATGGGAAGCAGTTTCAGGGGGATGGGGCGGTGGGTTTGAGGGGGATTTCTGCGACGGAGTTCTTTGCGTTTGTCGAAGGGGGTGGGGAGTTTGCGACTGCGAGTGCCACCATGTCGGGGCAAGGGCCGTATACGGCGGCGGGTGGCTCATGGAGTGGACGGATGATCCGGGAGAAGGTGAAAGTGTTGCAATGGCATGTTAACAAGGTACTGACACTGCTGGAGGCACTGCAAGGGACGTCGCCGTTGGCGCGGTATAAGATGAGTCTACATCAGCAGTGCATGTAGATCAAGGGTCTCAGGATTGATCTGAGGTTGGGATTTTAAGTACTATTCAAACGAGCTCTAGGACAGTTTTCAGCATGGCAAACAGGACAGCACAGCAAGCAGGACAGTACATCGGAAAGAGCAAACATGTATCCAGTCGCATATGAACCATTATAAGAGAAGCCACAGCAGCAGAAAAGAACACCAGAAAGAAAGCAATCATAAGCGCTGACAAAAGAAAAATCTCTATATGCAACTATCTCCCAATTCCTATACAGAAATCTCCACCGCATGCGAAACGACCACCGTCCTGTCCTTGAGCTGCTCCTCGACAGTCACTTCCTTGGCCGCCCGGGAAGCAGGTTTGGCATCTGATGCCCGCACCAGCGCTTTGACCTCGTCGACGGCCAGAGGCGGGTTCCAGGTGATGGTCGCCTCCTCCTCGGTCCTCTCCTTGCCGCAGGAGTAGCATTTGCGCCAGTCAGGGCGACAGACAAGCCAGGCTCCGCACTCCTTGCACTGCCGCGAGAACACGTCCTTCCATTTCTTCTTCTCATCGTAGTTGAGGAAGAGATCATAGTAGCGCAGGAGCCCGTCCCAGCGGAAATTGAACCGGTTCGAGTCGACCGCGACGCGCTTAACCGAGTTCGAGAACTCGATCACTTCGCGGACGGTCGCGTCGGGGACGCACCCCTCCAGCGGGATTGGGGCGATGAGCTCGATCGCCTTGCGGGCGACTGCATCGTACTCGGGCAGCATCGACCCCCAGGCCCAGTTGATCGAGTGGGGCACGTAGGTGTCGAAATTGAGGTTATAGTCCTGGCGAATGAGTTGCCAGCCTGGGATACCGATGCCAGCAAAAAACTGCCACAGGCAGGAGACCTGAGGTCCCAGCCGGGGTTCACGGAAGCAGACGTAGTTGAACTTGTTCATCTGGTTCAGGGCGGGGATGAGGCGCTTGGCGAAGTCGTCGTAGGGAGCGAGCGTCTTGCGGATGGAGAGCTCGGCTGCTTCTGCGTCCGCGGCACGCTCGGCCTCCTCGAGCGCCTTGTGCGTCAGCTCGGCTGCATAGGTCGAGGTCGACATGGCGGCAGTAATACCGGGTGAGTGCAGCGGGTTGGTGAAGCCACAGGCGTCGCCGACAGCAAGCCAGCCAGGGCCGGAGACGACGGGGGACTGGTAGGTGAGAGACTTGCGGATGTACCATGTCGTTCCGGGTCCATAGAGATCCTCAACAAGTTCGAAGTTGCTCATGAACTTCTTGATGAGGTCGTACTTTTCAACAAAGTAGTTGAACTTGCGCTCGGCCTCGCGGGTGCCGTACGCGGACATGTCCTCTGGGTACTTGACGTCGTTGCGGACGGCGAACCCAATGCTGGTAACCCACTGGAACTTAAGGTCAAACATCTTGGCGAGCTCCTCGGAACTGGGAATCTGGTCGCCGGGGACACCAGCCTCGGCGCAGTCGAGCAGGTACGAGATCATGTCCATCAAGTTGGGGATGGGGCTGCCCTCCCAGGAGGGGAGACGGATGACCCAGGCCCAGCCCTCGGGGAAGCACAGATGGTTGGTGTGGTCACCTTCGTAAAAGCGGAGGGGAATGTTGCTTTCGTCCTTGGGGGCAGTGAAGTAGCCCCAGAAGGCGTCGTAGTTCCAGCCTTCGAAACGGTGGAGGGAGGCTTTCTTGGAAGCCAACTGACGGAAGCGACCGGTGGCATCGACGAGCAGGGAGGAATCGATGGTTGTGGCAGGCTTGCCGTCGAACTTTCCGGGGTTGATGGCAATCTTGTTGCTCTGGAATCCGCCCTGGATGGTGCTGCCGTTGAAGTCGACCTGGCGGCCGTGGAAGACGTTGACGCCATTGCGCTGGGCCAGCAGAGTGAAGAGCAGCTCACTGATGGGACGCTCGATCTGGAAACCGCTGAGGAAGAGACCGGGGGTACCATTGCTGCAGAAGTCGGTGTAGTGGCCCTGGTTTTCACGATCGAGGAAATAGAAGCAGAGTCCATCCTTGAGGCCGAAGAGACGCAGCATGTACTCGGCAGTCAAGCCGTGCATCTTGCACCACAGCGAGAAGAGAGGAAGAGTGCTCTCACCGATCTTGTAGCCTGGCTTGGTGCCCTTCTCAATCAGGGAGATGTTGAGCTTGCCGGGCTTGTACTTGGCAGCGTGAATAGCGTAGATGAGACCGTGGATACCACCACCAGCGACAACAACATCGGATTTTTCAGGGATGTCTGCACCTGCAGGGTTGTTGGAGTTGAGGATTTGTGCATCGTTGAAATTGTTGGCGGCAGCACGCTCAGCGAAGGTGTGCTTGGGAGTGGGCTTGATCTCAGTCATTTTGGTAGTAAGGAGGTTAAACTTGACTGATTAACAAGATGACTGAACTCAAGATGTTGGAGAATTGTTGTTGCTGTGTGATGATGAGAGGTCAAACCAACTCACAGGACTTTTATATTCGTTGCAACAAGCAATTGAGTCTCTGCATACTACAGCAATCAACAATATCCACGGCTCGCATGCCCCATTCTCCGCTGTCATTCCTCTGGCGTTCCCTCTATGACCGACTGAGTCCGCTGCGGAGGGACAGGTCCGCATATACGCGGATCCTCCTGCTGACAGCCCGCGGACGCCTCCTATTGGTGCATACATTCTCTCACAGCTTTACTATCACGATTACCGTTGGAGTCAATGACTTTACAGAATCCTTAGTGGATGATTGATCGTTCAATCCGATGTCGAATAGAACTCGAAGCTCATGGTCCCTGGATTCCGAGTTCTGCAGTCTTACACGCACTCAAGCCATGGCTGAACAACTGTTAGCTACGGCTGAATATATCAGAGTGCAAGAGCCCATTTAGTACACGGTAATGCAGCTATATTCCACAAGTAGTACCATTGCGCTTCAAGAAGAAACCCAAGGTTTCCACGGAGCACAATTCTCTCCTTCCTTTAAAGCTAATAGAAGACATACGCCGCCGCTGAAAGTTTCCTTCGCACCATAACCGCCTTGAATTACGGTCAACCTTAACACTTCTTCATGTTTCGTACTTAAATTACTGACAACATGTTGGCCACACCTGGAGTCATCAGCCGAGGACCGGAAGTGTATGTCGCTTCGCGTCTAACCTTTTGTTGTTGTGTACTGACAAAATAGAACCCCGCACACTCGCCCTCATCTCCTCGCCGGTAGCATTGTGCCTGATCTCTCGTCCCCTCTCAAAGACAGCAATGTCGCAGCCTATGAGCCTCTCATTCCGCCTGCACTTCTGATCCACGAGTTTCCCATTACCCCAGCCTCTCGACGCACGATCGAGTCAGCCCGACAGGGAGCAGCGCAGATCATCCAGCGGAACGGTGACGACCGGCTACTGGTCATCGTGGGTCCCTGCTCCATCCATGATACCGACGTGGCACGCGACTACGCTGTCCGTCTGCAGGCTGCCATCCAGGAGCACGGGTGGGACAAGGATCTCCTGATCATCATGCGTGCCTACCTTGAAAAACCGCGGACTACAGTGGGCTGGAAAGGTTTTCTCTACGATCCGAACATTGACTCCACCAACCAGGTCAACATAGGATTGAAGGTACCTTAGCAATCTGCATCCCTGACACTAGACGATCAGTGCTCACGTTAGCTGCAGATCGCCCGTAGATTGTTGCTCGACATCACTGCGCTCGGTCTCCCTGTGGCCTGCGAGGTGCTCGACACCATCTCCCCACAGTTCCTGGCCGATCTGTACTGCTGGGGTGCAGTAGGGGCGCGCACGACAGAGTCGCAGGTCCATCGGCAGCTAGTCTCGGGCCTGTCGTTTCCCATCGGGTTCAAGAATGGGTCCTCGGGTAATATCAACATCGCATGCGATGGGATGAAGAGTGCCTCGTCTCCACACTCATTCTTAGGTCCGCTAGTAAGTCCGCGGCGATTCATTTACTAGTACTGACTGTCTGCAGGCGTCACCGAACAAGGTCTTGCAGCCATCGTCCACACTAAAGGAAACCCTCATCTCCACGTTATTCACCGTGGAGGAGACAGCGGTCCCAACTTCGACGCTGCTTCTGTTGCGTCCACAATCAAGGCTTACCCTAAGAATCTCCGACCGAGTATCATGATTGATGCGTCGCACGGCAACAGTCAAAAGGACTACCGTAACCAGCCCAAGGTGATCGATGCAGTTGCCGAACAGATCGCTGCTGGGGAGCCTGCCATTACCGGAGTCATGATCGAGAGTAACATCAACGAGGGTAAGCAGGCTGCGCCACAGTCGGAGGACGAGGTGCAGAAGCTCAAGTATGGTGTCTCCATCACGGATGGATGTGTTGGTTTCGAGACTACGGTGAAGATGCTCGAGACGCTCAGCCAGGTACGTGGCAAGGTCCTCTGCAGAGATTATTACTAACTCTATCTAGGCTGTCAGGCAGCGACGGCTCGCAGCATGTTAGGATAACGGATCAGTCCCTTTGTGAGGAGTCGTGAAGTGGTAGATTTCTGTACAGCAGTCGATCTTTCTTTTGGCTAGATAGTATGTCGCACTAAAAGTAGCTGTTGCCGATATCTTTTTGAAATCTCTCGTTCAGTGTACGACCCCCTCAATATGTATTCATTAGAGCTCTGGCCTCTACTAATCTCAAGACGCTGGACATGCCTGCTTACAATTCTGTCAACCAGAATAAGCCTATCATTTCTACTATGATAGAAATGGTCTTCTAGACACCTTTCTGGCGTAGTGGTTTGATGGCTGATAGATCCCTTAGACAATCTTCTCGCCGTGATCATCCACCTACATCATCAACCAGAACATGACTCATTGACAAGTATCACCATACCCTGACCGACTTTCATGATAATTCTCGAAGAAAAAAAAAAAAAAAAAAAAAAAAGAAAAAACCCCCACCCCAGAAAGATGATATTTTTGGGCCTCAATTTTCATGGATTTTAGGAGTTTCGGATTTTCCACCAACTGTCGGAGTTTCGGAGTTTCGGCGCGAAAAATCCCTTCCGGATTATTGCGGGTTCGTCCTCGGAGCCTTGATGATCTCCAGAGACAAACCGCTCTCAGTCGATCTTAACAGCTAAGAATTCTTAGCTTGTTTTGGCCTCGTCTTGAGCGTCAATATTCCGTTATTATTGGCTGCGGCCATAGCTCCGGCCTCGCTCCACATAGCACCACCTTCGGCTACCTTGGTCTCGGAAGATGGCCTCCCTTGCTCCGTGCGTTGCATGTTGATTATCAATATGGAGTTCTGGATATAGCTTCTGGTCCTGCAAGTATCCGTCTCCAAGGTATAAAGACAGCCACTGGAAGGGTAACTTGGCCTCGTTAACGGCACCATCCACAACAGCAACCATCTACATAGATGAGCTTGTCTCCTCTCCTAAGAAACGCACTCCGATCACAGTCTCGTTCTACTCTCATACGAGTCCAACAGCGCACTTTCTCCTCGTCTATATTTCAAATGGCTCCATTCACCCTCTACACTCACGCCGGTAAGACCTTCCCCGGTTGACCAGGAGTTCTCTGATGAATGCCTGCAGGCCCCGGCCCAAACCCTGTCAAGGTGGCCATGGCCCTCGAGCACCTCGGTTTGGACTACGACTGTGTTCCCCTCGGATTTGGCGAGGGCAAAGGCACCGTCAAGGATCCCGAGTACACTTCCAAGGTCAACCCCAACGGCCGAGTTCCCGGCCTGATCGACCATGAGAACAACGACTTCACCGTCTTTGAGAGTGCCGCTATCCTACGATACCTGGCTGAGAAGGTACCCAATAAACCCCTCTCCACTTTTTGACACCCAGCTAACAGACCAATCCAGTATGACACCAGTGGCAAACTCGCCGGCAACACTCCCGAAGAACGCGCCACCGTCAACAAGTGGCTCGCCTGGCAGGTGTCCGGTCTGGGCCCCTACCAGGGCCAGCTGGTCTGGTTCCTCGCCTTCCACGAGGGTGCCCACGGCGAGAAGCCCAACGGTTCTGTGATTGCGCGTTACCAAGCGGAGGTTGAGCGCCTGCGGTCCGTGCTGGAGAAGCACCTCGCGTCCGCGGAGAACGGGTTCGTTGCGCTGGGCCGTCTGACCATCGCTGACTTTGCCATCCTACCATGGTTGAAGATCTCGGTGCTGGCTGGGTCTGCACTCAAGCCCTTTGAGGAATACCCGGCTATCAACGCTTACATCAAGAAGCTGGATGCACTGCCTGAAGTGCAGGCTGCTTACAAGAAGGCTGTCCCTCCTATGCAGTAGATTAGCCGAGTGCAGATAAACCAGAAGATATGTATGTAGATTACAATCCTGGCAGCATTAGTCTCAGTTCACGTGTAACTTGTAGAATTATGCTTGTCTCGAGTTGATTTGAATTCTTGGTCATTCCAAGCCCAATGCGTATAAGTTCTTGCGGTACTTGTCTTCAACGTACTGTTCCTTGATTTAATATATCGTGGATATAACCATTCTGTGCGGGCCCCGCCCGTATTCAGGCAGCCAGGGAGAGAGGGAAGGGGTGAGATATTACACCGCCCTACCTTGGAAATCGAGTCCAGCTCCTGAATCTCCCAACTAAAACCAGTCAACTCGGTGAGGAAGGTGAAAACACGGCCTCGGCTCGGCGGAGGAGCTTCTCTACTGAGTCTTTACCCATGGCGGACGGAAACCGCGGACGACAGTGACCTTTATCTAGCTAATCCAGGCAGTTGCAATGTAATCAACGTAATCTCCGCGCTTGACAGGTTGGTGCAACGCTTCTGGCTCCTATGAGTCGTCACCGAGACTGGGCCCGACTACCAGTGCGCCTGGTGCGTAAAGAGAGTCACTCCATGTGTAATATCGATTGATACGGTATCCATGAAGGAAGCAAAAGACGTCCTGCGGTGCTTAGGGGCAAGGCCCATCCGCGGAGCACGGATACCGTGGGAAGAATACATCCAGTGGTTGGTACTTGAGGGTCTCAGCCCAGAGGGCTGTACGTACATAGGAGCGGGAGCAGCGGCATTGATCAAGTTGAAAGCAGCAACTTCAGAGCCAGGCGCCAGCCCATCGCCAGCGCAGCTGTATTAAATAGAAAAGAGTTTACTAATTGCTATTGCTCGTGTACTGGTAGCCCTGACCATTCGTTGCCTCCATCATCCATAGCAAAAATGTTGTCCAACACCATCACGATCATTCCCAGCATTGAAACCCGGGTCGTCGAGCCCTTGCCGCAATTTGACACCTCGCGCCGGGTGAGCTTCCCCGTGAGCCTTCCGCTCGATCCGCTGGCGTGGGCGAGAAAGAAGGCCGCAAATGAAGCTCTTGTCGAACGCATCGCGGAGATCATCGCCTCGTACCGCATCAGCGGACCTGACGACCGGTATGAGGGCGTCTACAAACCCAAGCTGCTTGACACGCTGCGGTATTTTGTCTCCAAGCAGGAACCCGTCAATATGGTGGTCCCCGCGTACCCATTCAAGAGCCCCAACCGGGACGAGAAAGTGCTTGGCCCCGACCCGGATGTCGGCGAGCGCATGTCCCTCGAGCATTTTAACTCGATGGGTGCGCGCATTCAGCAGATCTACCCGCCTGGTGGACATGTTACTATCGTCAGTGATGGTTGCTGTTACAATGACCTGCTTGGCGTGTCTGACGAAGAGGTCTTCCGATACGCAGAGGGCCTGCATCGCATCGTGGACAGGCTGGGGCTGAAGCATATTAAATTCTCAGACCCTTTCGACCTGATCGAGGGACGGCACAATGTCCCCGTCACCGAGGAGGAATACGCCAGCCGCATCGGCGAGCTGAAGGACTATCTGTTCCGCTCGTATCACCCCGCTGGCTACGACTTTGACGAGGAACTGAACAAAGATCCCAACGCAGCCCTGACATATCGGGGTTACATTCGGTTTCTCATGTCCGATCTCGCCCTTTTCTTCAAGAAGAAGCAGATGAGCAAGAGCGCTATCAAGAAGCACTGCTCCACCGTCGCCCGCAGCATGATCAAACGCGGCAAGGCATTTTCCGCCCTCGTCGCCAAGGCCTCCCCCTTGCACGTCCGACTCTCGATCCACGCCAGCGACAACACGGGCAAGCTTTCCGTCGCTCTGCTGCCGCACAAGCGATACAGCAGTTTCCCCGTCACCCCCTGGCACAATACACCCTGCCTGGACACGGCCAGCGTCTCGCTCAGCTTGAGCCGAAAACCCACGGACGGGGCCATCCCCTACCGTCTCTGCCAAGACGAGCTGGGCCTTTACTTCCTCTGCGCTGATGTCCCCATGTACCGCGTCATCGAGACCCCGGACGTCCCGGCGCTCGCCCAACAAGTCCAATTTCAGCCGCTTTACCCGTTCGGTCTCAGAATCAAGGTCCCAAGGGGCATGCCCATCGGCCAATTCCGCCTGGAGCGGGTCGCGGAACTAGCCAAGGTGCATTCCCCGATTATCTTCGAGGGACTGGATCCGATGGAGTACACAGCTGCAATTGCGGATGATTTCCAGCGCGTCGCAGGTGGCACGATGTCGCTGAGCATCCTACATGAGGGCGTCGCAACGACAGCGAACACGACAAGACACATGGCCGAATTTGCAGCGGCGTCGTATTTTTTGCAGATTTCAGCCGCGACCGGCGACGATGCGCAGCCTGCGCTTCTACCGTTCCTCGCGGCGGCTGCGGCGCTGGACGATGTGCGGTATCGTGTGTTGCATCACTGGCAGGCGGGCCATGCAGTTGTCTCGGACCATCGCGTTGCGCTGCCGGTGCATTTGAGTCCGTCCAGTTTGAGGGTTTTGCATGCGGACGTTTAATGATTAGTAACCTTGGATGTCTCTGGTCTTCCTCAGTGAGTATACTTGAGTCTTTCTTGGCAGCTAGGTGCTATTTGTTTTTTCCTTTCTATTCTAGATGTTACTATCCTACAAGTATATAGACGCCCAGACCGAATGAACCGCGCTCGTCTTCTACATTCTACTCATCATACAAACTGTCTTTTCTTCCGTGATCTATCGCGGAAGAACAATCCGCAAAATGGAAAGATCTACAGAGCAACCGGCTCTATCGGCTTCCCAAACATAACCTCCTCCGCGCCGCAAAACTCCGCGGCGGCAAGGGGAACCCGCTAGACCCCGTCTCGGAATTTCTGCATCACACGATCTAGGCCGAGCAAAATCCAGTAATAGGGCTGAAAGCTGAAGGATGCAGGTCTAAGAGTCTGACGAGCTGACTAGAGCAGCAGGGGTTGCTGACATCAGTCGTGGCTGAGAGGCGGAACTGATGCGACTTAACTTGTGGGCAGGACGGTAGGCAGAAGCATAATAATTACATCCGATGATGTATTCTGAGATTATACAAGGCTTTGAAGATATCGTCAGAACTAGCAATTCTCATTTCTCGTAGTCGTTATACATCTAATCGTGAGCAAGTATGTAGCAACCAATCAACCAACCAGCGCGTAAACTTCACATCAAGAGCTTGCGAACAAGAACCATTACAGATAGGACAGTAAAGCAAGTAGCATGGAATCAAGCACTTTTCCCCGGCTCGGTATATGCCTCATGATATAACTTCTGTTTCTTGATGCCCCCTTCCCGTCTCATTCCTTCCGCGGACATTTCGCGCGGATACGCCTCCAAAGTCAGACCCCGCTTGCTCGGACTAACGGGCCCATCCTCGCCCAAATTGAACGCGAACGCATGCTGTTCGTCTAACCAGGTCAGAAGGCCGGCATCTAGCTCGGCCGGATCAAACGGGCCCATTGCGACCGTTGCATCGGGAAACCCCGCGGGGAAACGGTCTGCAAAGTCCGGGAATTGCTGGCTCAGGACGTCTATCTCTGCATCTGGGAGCGGCTCCAGCGGTGAGGGAAACTCCGTTGCCGCGCTGGAGATCATTGAGGGGACAGTATTAGTTGTGAACGCGGATGTGTTGAGAAAGGAGCTGGGCACGACAGTGCTGTCTGGGAGGCAGGTTTGCGGTTGCAATTGCACTGGTGTTTCCGAGGGGGAACGCGACTGGTCGGAACTGTACTTTCCTGTGCTGTTTGCGCTCTGGGTGGAGTCCCCGACAAGTCCACCCTGGCGTCGCTGGTGGCCGCGTTCATTGAGCCATGCTACCCAGGAGGAGTCCATGTGCCGGCGGGTGGGTGTGCCACTGCCATTGTAGTGCTGCTTGGGACCATCCTCCCGCTGGTGCTGGTGTCCGTCCTCGGCCGCGGACAGCAGAGCAAAATAGCTGGTCGCGCTGCTACGCGAGCGAACACGGCTGCTGTAGTTGAGATTGGAGCAAGCCATGGGTAGCGAGGTCGAGGAAGACGGTGACATTGCGCCGGACAATGGTGCATGGTTGTTGCGTCTGGTGAGAGCGAGCCACTGCACCCATCTCGCATCCGGATCTCTCCCCAAGGGCGTGCTTGATCCACTACGGGCGCACTGCATGTGGTGACTTAAGCAACCACGTGGAAAATGCCAAGCGTTTGAAAAATGCCTTGACGCAGCAAGGGTTTGTAGAGAAGCTCGAGCGTTGTCACAGATAGTAGATATATGCTGCGCGATTCTGAGGCAGCTGAATCAGGACAATGACTAGACGGTAATTCTGTAATTCTGACTACGGTGCATGTCTTGGCTGACCAGCCAGGGAATGCATTACCCTTTATACAAGAAGTCTGTTCGCACTTGGCGATTGTTCGGTGAAGACTCTAGTGCGGCTAGGTCCTCCGTCGGGATATCCGTTGGTGCGCGATGGGTCGCAGGCTGTGGACGGACTGTCGCATTCGACTGCAGCCACGGCTGCCTCACCGTGCTCGTATCCAACGAAACAGGACTCCGGATGCGGCAACAATGGCGTTCGGAGACAAGGGGTGAAGTGGAACTCAATCAAACCTGCAGTGGTGCTGAAGAGCTGACGGGCCAGATCAATGTGTCCAGTGCACGGAGGAGACTGCAGAAAATCGACGACCAGAACCGCGGATCAGCACGAATCAAAAACATGGCAAATTCCTGTGTGGAGCGTCAGCGCAGTGTCAGTGCAGCGTTAGTCTGACGCCAATTTGCCGCAACATCTCTAGTCTGGTCGGCTGGTTTCAGAAGACGCATTCTCATTGACTGATGCCACCATCGACACTGGAGTAACATTGCATATCACTCGCTCAGCATCACCATTCTGGCCACGTGTAGACTGCGATCAGCAAGAATAATCGGAATTGCAGACTGACTGTGTAGATACGTGGGCGGAAACGTGGCAGGTGCAGCCGTTTCCTGTAGTGTAACAGTCAACGCAGACATAGTCATTCTACACTTGAAGGAGTAGACCATTAATCCGATGCTATCTGCCCTGCAGTCTCTTCTCCATGTCGTATTTGGTGGCACATTGATCCACAGTTATATGTAGAAGATATGTCTCGGCACCTCCTCCGCAGTGTAGACACCCTCGACACAGCATCTAATACGAGCTTAAACTGTCTTTCCTCTCAGAGTTAGACTTCAAAATGCACGCATTTACTTTACTAGCGGCATGATCCCTCACGGATACGGCAGAACCCTTCAGTCCATTCCAGGCTACTGTAGTGTAGGTGGGTACATTCAACGCGCGATTTCCTTCTCGCCAAAAGACTAGTAGAGGAAACGCCACTAACTACCACGTAGTACAAAATTAGAGCCTTCTCTAGAATGTCAGAGACTCAACCGTCAGTAATCCCGTAGACTAAGATCGGCGCTACATATTCTTCCAGGGAACAAGGGGGCCCCGGATAGAGCCACGGAGCGTCCGCAAACTCCACGGAGTTTCGGGCAGTGCAGCGACAGAATCCTCGCTTCGTCGCATATGTCCGCTCAGTCCGCCGAGGAAAATCCTTTTAGGACTTCGCGCCCTCGGAAACCAATTACGACTCTTACTCTCAGGAAAAGTACAAATACTAAGAAGCCCCAAGACACATGCATCTGACGTGAGATAGGCGCCACTTTCTTCTCAGTTTGGACTCACACCGCCTTGAATACCTTCATCCTCCAATTCTACTCGCCAGGAGATCAGGAAAATAGAAAATATATTAGACTATAATTAAAATGCCTACTCAGCACCGCATCATTTCCCTTGTCTACAACGAGTTCGAAGCCCTCGATCTCTTCGGCCCATTGGGCGCCATCGTCCCCCGCAGCGACTACTACACTCTGGAGTTAGTCAGCCTGCACAACCTAGACTCGCCACATGGCGTTGAAACCTCCATGAAGAACGGTATCGGCGTGATCCCGACCCTCTCACTGGCCGAGGCCCTCAGGGAAGACCAGCAGTTCGACACCCTTTTCATCCCTGGTGGGTTTGGCATGATGCCGCTGGTCTGGGACCCGATCCTGCTGCAGCGTATCGGTCAGCTGGTCGATCGTGCGCCTAACGTCTTTTCCGTGTGTACGGGTTCGATCTTGCTGGCCGCGACTGGCCGGCTGGATGGGCGGAAGGCGACAACGAACAAGCGGCTGTATGATGAGCTGACTCCTAAACGTATAATACCACCGTCTGGTTTCGAGATTGCAGAGCACATGCTAACCTTTCGATTTGGCTAGACCCAGGGGTCCAATGGCAGAAGCGTGCACGCTGGGTGCAGGATGGGAAATTCCTGACGTCCTCTGGTGTTACGGCGGGTATCGACGCGGGCTTCGCTTTCCTTGCTAGCACGTATGTCGCGCCGGAGGACCGCCAGGCTCACCCAGAGGCTCAAAAGCCGTCTCGGCAGGGCGATGAGACTCCTGTTCCCGGCTTCAATAAGGAAAAGGCTCTGCGTTATGCTCATTTCACTGCCTTTGGTTTGGAGTACCGCTGGCACTCGGATCCTGCGGATGATCCCTTCGTGGATTGCCCGGAACAAACGGCAGCTCATACATAGATTTCTTTTGGCTTTGCTTTTGTGCTTGTGTCCTCAATGAATATGAATAAACATGCTAGTCTGCCTTTCCCCGACCATTATAGGCATCATGACCGAGGAGGCTGCGATAACGAGAGAAACAGCAAAAACGGGTCGGATAGTTAACATCCGCATAACCCCGGCAAGCAGTCGCATGATTTATCACCAGCCCGAGCCCCTACAAACAAAGCCAAGCCCGGTCTACATAGGAGCCAGTGTCCCATCACCCATGGCGTAATAAAACTTGGCGGCAACGTAGGCATCAGCGCTAGAGGGAGTTGTGGCGGAGTCACTGCCTCCACCCAGTCCGATAGATTCACTCTGCAGAGATGAAGGAGATGTGTGGGTCATACGGCTGCTAGGAGTACTACTATATGAGTCGGCAAGTTGCGAAGTACCCAGTCCAAAGGCGCCAGGCGGGTCTCCTCGGGTAGTAAACGAGACATCCTTTGTGTGAGATTCAAATGGTGGCAGGGAAAAGTCCAAGGATTGCCAAAAGTTTGGGCTGAGGCCGTTGGAGAGAATCGGCAGCACGTCCAAGTCATGAAACCCATCGGCGACATTGGCAAACGGCATCGACACGTGAAACGGCGAAAAGGGGTCAATGGGGGCCTGCTGCTCTTGCACGGGTGCGCTTTCAGGGTCAGTGCTTCCGCTCAAGGCCCTGAGAATATCAGTAACCCTGAGTCTCAGCGAGCTTTGAGCAGCCAATGGTTCTCTGGGACGATTTCCAGCGGCACTCCCTGAGTTATTGGTGCTGCTGTGATCTGCATCGCCTTCTTCAAGCTTCATCAAGGCTTCCAGAGCAACCACGCTGCGCTGAGCAGACCCTTTGACTTGCTCCAAGTGCAGATCGTGAAGTGATGACCCTTCCATGAGGCTTTTGGTTCGCAATAATTCAATCGCTTCCCTGATCTTGTCCCGAGTCATCAATCGGCTAAGGTGTGCACTTGCACTATCCACATCCCCTTGCTTAGATGTGAAGAGCAGGTCGAGGAGCAACATAACAGCTGCGTTGAATAGCTGAGTCTCACTGGTTGATAGCGAGCCACATACAGCGCATCGCGCCTGAATCTGAGCCTGGGTACTGATAATATTTTGGGCTAGAAGCTGACAGGAAGCACGGCTAATCGGAGATGATAGATCAGCTCGATGTAGCCGAAGCAGTAAGCTCCAGAGTTGTTGGTGCAGCATCCAGCGTTGCACAGGGATTGCTGCCATTGGACCAGTGGCGGTGAGTCCTACAGTGCTCCCCAATCGAAAATATGACGGCAGAGTAGCTATGTACTTTTCGTACTTATTGTTGATATGTTTGCGCAGCTTGGCAGATTCAGTGGTTAGATCAGGCTGCTGAGTTGGTAATCCCCTTAGATCGATAGATTCGCGTACAATGCCGGCAAGTTCGAGGGCGTGAACTGTATACGACATCATAGTGAACTCGGATCGAGGCCGCTCCGTGATTTCTCCATTGACAGTCACCCTCCATGCTGACAGACAGAGATCATCATCGTTGATGTGCAACGGCATCCGAGTGTTAAATTGTGATGGTTGAATGGTGTAGTAGCCAAGGGCTTGCCCGCGCGACCAATCTCTCTGTACGAGTGCCCACCTATGCGAGATTGTTAAAATTGGACTCAAGATAATTCTGCTCATGTACCCTACCAAATGCGAATCCCTAGTTCTGTTCGAATATGTCCCGGTTCCACCAGTGCTGATGTGCCATTTTCTAATGGTGCTAAGTGTGATGCAGAGGCGTCCAACTTGATGCCACCCAAGCGGTGCAGACCAAGTTTGCGGGCTCCCGAAATCGCAGTGACCAGAACAGCGTCCAGCGCTAATGAGTTCTCCTGGCCGTCAAGTAAAAGCATAATTGCAGCCTGTAAACTGGCGATCGAGCCACAAAAGAGAGACACTCCGTCCTGGAGACAACGCAAGCTCAGAGATCTCCATGTCTTGGAGTGTATATCAGACGCTCGTAGCTCCTCCACGCGTAGGGTCAAAGGCGTAGGAGTCCATCCTAGTAGAGACGGCGTAGGATGAAACGCGAGACCGAGCATGAGCTTAGAACCAAATAATGATGTAAGCAAGACGCCTTCTGTATAGGGTATACTGCACCTACCGCTAAGAGGTAACAGCCCAGTGTCTCCATAGGGACGGTACTTGATATCGCTAAGATCCGCGAGTCCAGTGAAGCAAGACTTAAGCAATTGCTGAACTGTTGAGCTTGCTTCATGAATGTTGGAGTGTGAACCACATTCCCTAAGGGACCCTGGCAACGAGTAACAAAGACTTCAAAAAGAGAATGAATTATCTCCAACGCCGGCATCGCGTCGACAATCTCTCGGATTAAGGCGAGTTTCTCGCCGTGTCGCTTGGGGTCATTACTCGACCAGTATAGATTTGGAAAGTCTGGCGCAACTGAGGACGGTGTCGGTCCAAAAACAGCAGGCAGATAGGCATTTGGACGAGGAACTCCTTCGACAAAATGCTCTAAGAGTTGAGCTGTCTCCTCTGCTTCCGCTTCCCCATCTCCATTCGGTGGCGGATCACTGATGAGATGCGCACCGATCAGTAGGAGTTGATAATACAGTGATGATAAGTTGCACTCACCGTTTGGAGGGCGTCTTGTCTTTATTCTCCGTTTTTGATCGTTTGGCTCTCGGTTGACGCTCATCTTTGGTGCAAAGATGGCCAATGTTACGCTTGACGCACTCCACCTGCAAAGAGAAAATGAGCCTTCATCCTCCAATAGATGTATCGCGCGTGGGAAAAGTGGCAACTGACACAGGGTTCTTTGCGGTCGCATTTCAGCTTAGAGGCCCTACATCGAGAACACGACAGCGTAAACTTGCGTACACCAGAGTCTGAGCCCGCGGGGGCCGTGCTGTTGGTTGCATCAACCATTATTATTATTGTTGTTGGTGGTTGGATGAAAACAAGAAGTGGTTTAGATCAGGAACAAAATGTCGGGCGGAGATTGTTCTCTGCAATCTAGCCTGGACTCAGCCGGCTTACGCGACGACCTTCTTGACCGCTGGTAGGCAAGGCAGAGTCATTTGCCCCACATCGGTAGCTTCTGGAATTGTGGCCTGTTCGTCTCCTGTAAGAACTAGAGCACTGTCACTCTCTGGCGTGGCTTCTGATTCTTTGTTGACTTGCCAGTCGACGGTGTGGGGTTGTCCGCAGTTGTCAGGTGGGTCAGCTGACGGTGAGGGTGAGCTTGTCGACGCTCTGGGGCCAAAAAATGGAGCCACTAGGAGAGATAAGCGATGGTCACGTAATCTCAACGGTTTGGTATGTTGTTTTTCCAAGCGAGATGTGAGAGAGACTTGTTTGCTGACCATGGCGAGTGCCTTGAGTCCACGTGATTCCCAGCTAACGTTGTGCCTAAGGTGACCCTGCCTGAGGAATCCATGTTTTTCGCAATGGAGAAGACAAGAGAAAAACCAACAGGGATCTTTCCGGTCGCCGCGGAGTTGCTTGGACTCGGGGCCAAATCGCCCATTACAACAGTATCCCGTCTACTTGTAGCCGTCTTTTTTGCAGCCTAGCGACCGCCTCGAGGCAATCGCCATTCGTGGTATCGCGCATCCATGCCACTTATGCAAAACCAACATGCCGGGAGAAGACCAAGCAGGCTCGATTTTCAGATCATTGCTGAATGCTCTGACAGTGTTTCCTCCGACCATCATTGAATAGAGTATGTGTCATTGCTCAGAGCATTGTTGTTCGAACTCTTTACGGAGTAGTGGCTTGTCAAACTGATGCCTCAGGCGGGCGTACGTCGAGTCATATTGCGCATAAAATCCTAATTGGTTGCTTCATACTCTCTTGCAGGGGAGTAATTGATTCCCTTCGTACATCGGCCAGCTGGGGCCATTCTAAAAGCCAAATATAGGCCAATGCGTCTCAATCGACGTAATGTCAAAACTTAAGATGGAGGTCGCAAGACTGTCTTGTTTAGATAAATAGCGAGAACAAACATATCCTGTGGCCAAAGACTGGTGTCATTCTTCGTTCTGTACAATGACTATAGTGATGCATGAATGGTACTTGTTCCATCAACGCCCATGGCTGCAATGCTCGACTGGCCCGTTTCCGCCGCTACTATGTTGCTGATACTCTGAGTAATGAAGGTTGGCCATATGCCTTCGGTTTGGCAGTCCTCCTCTTTTGTGACACCCGTAAGGACAAGAAGGGAATCAATACTACCATCTCTGGCAAACAGTATATCCGTGTGAAGGTTGTCTCCGACGAATATCGACCGGTTCTGGTCGATATTGTAAAGCGACTTTACCGTGTCAAGCATGGGTGCATGCGGTTTGCCAATGACAATCGGGTTGCGCTTCGTCGAGGCGATCAATGGCGTAGCGAGAGAACCCGAGCCTACAAGCCGCTGTCAGCGACTGCTCGCGTCTTCGCAAGAAGAGGAATACTACCAGGCCATAGCTCTCCTAAAGCCGGAACCACCTTATCGTCGTTTGTTAAAATGAAATGACAACCTCCTCCCGTCTCTCCTGCAAGAACAGGCCCTTGAGCTCCTTCGCGCGTCAAGTATTTGAATGCTTTGCAAAGTTTGGCGTAATTCATGTGCATATCGAACCCACACACCACTGCGCCAACACTGGGATCGATCGCCTCCTCGCCGGCTAGCGAAGAATAGTCGTTTGCGGCGAGGAACTTGTTGTCCTCCGGGCAGGTTCCTCCGCATCGCTTGATGTTGACAACATCAAGTTCTGCTTCCACCCCTTCCATTCCCATGACAAACACCTTCCGATCGGCAGGAAACTTCAGCACTTCCTTGAGATAAACAGCTGCTGCAGAGGAGCTGGATACAATCTCGTCCTGTTCAGTAATTTGGATATGTCAGCTGGTGGTCCATCCACAAACACTTGGTCCTTACCTCACTGGCTGCGATTCTCAGTCTGTCAAATTTGGTCTTCAGCATCTTCCGACTTCTTGCCGCATTGTTCGTGACAAATACCACTCTTTTACCATTGTCTCTCAAGAAGTTGATTGCCCTGCTGGCTCCTTCAATAGCATGATCCCCAGACCATATCACCCCGTCGCAGTCGAAGAGCCACGTGTCATACCGATACAAAAGTTCAGCATAGTCGCTAGGTGCAGATAGCTTGCGAGGAGATGCCATCGCAAGAAAATGCCTGAGGTTACACAAATAAACACTCTGGCTACTGCTCTCCTCATACAAATAGGATAGCCCTTCGCGTGCGCTTCCCTTCGCGTACGGATTCCGAGTGATGACAGCAAGGTTTACTTTTCCTTTACCCTCCGCGGATCTAACAACAAATAAAGAATGTATAGAAAATGTGCTTCACACATAGGAATACATGGCACAGCCTGTAAAGGCTGACATTGGGTTGATTGATGTAGTCAGAGATGCATGTGTGGCTTGCCGCCCACCATTGCACAGCTCCGACGGAATCCGCGATTATGTCTGCTCTTCTACATCCAGTGGGCAGTTTACACTCCAGGGCGGATCGCACAACGCGGAAACCTGCTATGATGGAAATTCAATCTGTTTCAAGGCCGCGGCGTACTAAATTCTCAGCTTGAACCAAAAGCAATATTGCCGGTAAGAAGGGTTCTTTAAAGATGGACGCGAAGGACGACAGATGAGACTGATCATCATCATCATCAACAACAACTACATCAAGCCCAAAACATCAAATTGAAAAGCCGTATCTGTCAAGTAGATCAAAATGCCCTACGCCGGCAACCCTCCTACTCCAACGGAGAACAAGGTCTCCCAGATCCTCTCAATCATCTCAGCATATCGTCACCGCTCGGCCGCTGTTCCTGATCGCTTTTCCGAATTCGCTCCAGATCTCGAGAAGCAACTCACTGAGACTGTCTCCAAGGGGGAGGCAGTGCGATTCATTCTTCCATCCTTCCCCTTCAAGGCCCCCGCTGAGGGAGACAAGCGCAAGACTCTGGGCTCTCTGCCAGACAAGGCAGAAGAGATCGCTTTGCAAACCCTCGACGGATTTGCCGATTCCATTGCTGAGATCTACGAGGCTGGTGCCACTGTAGTTGTTGTCTCAGATGCGTCTGTATACGGAGGTATGTGTACCAAGGGATCTCCAGCCAGACATACAGACAGACTTACTAATGGTGAATTAGACCTTCTGAAGATCCCCGACGCCGACGCTTTTGCCTACCGTCAGGAATTGAAGAAGCTTGCCTCGTCTCTCGGTCTCACTCATCTTGAATTTGTGCGTCCGGGCACTCTCGCCGGCATTGTCCCCGAGGAGGCCAAGACACTCGAGGAGTATTCCGACCACGTCTCCAAAACCCGCAACCTTCTCGATGGTACCCTAGCTCAGGCGGTCGACCCCAACGAGGATGAGAATATGCAAGCAACAAGCAAGCACTACGACACGGCACTGCCTCCGGCCGAAGATCACGAAACTTTCAAGGCTGCTATGCTCAAGCGGGGAAAAGTAGGCCCTAAGTCCCATACTGCCGTTAGTCCCGACGTTGCTGACCTCTTCAGGCCTATGCGAAGCTGATTGCCTCATCGGCCGAGTCGACGATCCGCCTGTCCATCCACGAGTCCAACAATGTTGGCAAAATTACTATTAACCTCTTCCCACCGTCAACAAATCCGGACTTCATCACTCCCTGGCACGGCGCCGTCGCGGTCCTCGCAGACGCCAGCGTGCGCATTGTCGATGCCTCCACCGTGGACATGGGCAAATTTGAGGTCATCACTAACCACGAGGGTCGCCCCTGGCTGCTTCGCGAGAAATCTGATCTCTTCGACTGGTTTGGCATGGAACTAGATTTTGAGCCTCTCTTCCCCTGCGGTATGCTTGTCCGCCCCAAAGAAGGATACGGTCCATACAGGTTCGAGGATGTCAATATGAAGTGCGTGCGTCGGCTCGCCCTGTCTACCGCCCCGCTCCTTCTGCGCGGCTTCACCATGCAAGTCGAGAAGGAAGTATTCCGCAGCAAGGCCCGCGAGCTGGGCAAGATCCAGATGTGGCCCTTTGGCGACATTCTCGAGGTCCGCGAGAACGCCGACTTCAACATGAACAACGTGCTCACCCGCGAAGCCATGCCCTTCCACTACGACGGCGTCTTCAAGACCGTCCAGGACGAGAAGACGGGCGAGTGGATCTCCGTCCCGCCCCTCTTCCAGATGTTCCGCAACCGCGCCGCATCCCAGTCCAAGGGCGGGCTGACCCTTTTCGCCTCCTCGCGCAACCTCATCCCTCTCCTCGGCCCGGACAGCATCACACTCGAGGAGCTCCGCAAACTCAAGTGGAAAACCTTCACCGCCGTCAATGAGGCATTTGGCGGCCATGAGCTCCTCCTGCCTTTCATCATCACCCACCCGGAGTCCGGCGTTGACACTTTCCGGTTTCACGAGCCTTGGCCCGAGAGCAAGTGCGTGGCCGGAAGCAGTGAGCCGACGATCGTGCGGGTTGTGGGCTGGCCCTTGGCTGAGAGCGACGCGCTCTGTGAGAAGCTGACCCAGCTCCTGTATGACCGCCGGGTTGCCTACCGTCACCAGTGGAAGGCGGGGGATTTCATCTTCAACGACAACGCCATGACCCACCACACTCGCACAGCCTTCGAGGATGGTCACCGTGAGCACTGGCGTGTGCATGTGAATTAGGATGTTCCTCTTTTCTTAGCGATTGTGATTTTCCCCTATTTAGAGATAAGAATCAAGATGAGAATTGAATATATGATAGTTTTGTCTGTTTCTTGATTTTCACTATGAAGTCAGGCCCTGATTTAATAAGTGTGTTTTAATTAATAGTATCTTTATCTTAGCTTGGACACATCTGCTGTGTAGGCTTGGGTAGCCAAAAGTATGGCCGTCGTCAGAAGATTGGCGAGCATTCTGCCGTCTGAAGGATTTGTATCAGAAGATTATTATAAGGACTATTCTGGAAAGTGAACAAAAGAGTGACATGGATATATGGAAGGAATGACAAAAGAATGTTGGGGAGATAGCCCGTCTTTAAAAATGGACTTCCACATTTGAATTAATGGAAGCAAGTTGGAGTTGAGGGTATCCCTCTTTAATATACATCTTTTGCCTCTGGAACCCAGAACAAGGATCACAGTGTCTTGAATACTTTGTCCGGCCACCTCTTTGGCCTAGTGGTATTCTATTGTACACATTGTTATCTGGTCTATTAGTACATTACGAGGAAGCCAACCCAAACGGGGGATCAAGATGTGAGTGGGATCAAATCATACGATGGATTTCCCCAGAAGTAGGGTCAATCTTCCCTTTTGCACCCAAGCATATCGAGATGAAGGAGTCTTATTGCTTCTATGGGATTTAGCCTGCGTATTCTGGTAGCAATCGAGGGTACACTTAGGTAGGATAGTCTCTTTCATCTAATGTGATGAATTTAACTCTACCACCACTTCTACTTGCTTAACAATACGCAGACGGTTATAGACGCGACTAGGCACAGATATAGGACGCTGCGCCACAGTGGAACCCTTGCTGGCCTGCCGCACCCTTTACATATGCATTCGATCAAGCTTATGCCTAGTCAGGTATTCTTCCCGATATGGATGGTAAATCCTTGTGTGCTGGGTGTCCGCATGACAGATGCATTTCCCCAAATGGACGCACTAATCTTTCGTTTCAACCATTCTTGGTTGTGGCTATTCTTGATTAAATTGGTCTAAACTACGAACAGTGAAAAGATGGGGCAAGGAAAAGGCAACCGCTCAAGAGGCTTGACGAGGCCGCACGTCACTATGGGTCCTTGGAACACCGTCATAGTGCCTGTGTATGAGGGTGATAATACAGTGGGTTCCGTGCTTGTTTGAGCTTTGTCTATAATTGCAGGCAGAGACGTGAGCGCCCACTTGGTTGTACCACTAGTAGTGTCAAATCAAAGCATGATTAAGTGAATCTATTATTGGTGCTACAACTAGTGCAAAAGCTCATTCTATGAAACATCTCGCGAACATGATCCTGGCGTAAATTTCGTGACAGTTGTTAATGATCCTAAGAAAATCCTCAAGCATTCGGCTTGTCGACAGACGTCTCGAACGCGCCATCAGTGCTGCTCGCAGCATCCTTCTCATCCTCCTTCTTGTCGAACCGCGTGTCCCGGACGAAGAAAACCACAATAAAGAAGGCGACAGCCGCAAAGCCAATACCGAGCCAGAGCGCACCGCGGTACCCGCGTACAATATCCTGTCCACCGTTGTTTACATGCGCCTCGACAGTAGCGGCAATACCCAGACCGATAGAGATGGAGTACTGCACAACGGTGGAAATGAATGAGCCCGCGACACCCTGCTCCTCGGGCAAGACCGCGTTTGAGATGAGAATCCCCGACGAAGCGAAGGACAGATCCGGTCCGCCGACGACTAGCAGACACGCGGGGAAGATGAAGGCCCAGTAGACGGATGAGTAGTTGACGAAGCTCATGAGCAGGCAACCAACGAAGAAGGAGAACATTGAGACTCCGAAGATGTACTGCGCGGGGACCTTGGCGATGAAGATACCGACTGAGGCAGTCGCGAACAGACCGCCAATGACCAGTGGGACCATCTGAGCGACAGCCGTGAGCGGTTGCGCCTTGTGAACGGTGAGAATGTAAACGGTTGTGTAGTAGAGGAAGATGCCAAACGACATCCAGCCGAACGACATGGCCGTCACGACGGGGGAGAAGCCTTTGCGGGTCCAGAGAGTGTTGGGGAGAACGGGAGCCTGGACATGCGACTGCGAGAAGACAAACGCAACGATCAAGAAAATGCCGACGACGAGAAGCGCGTAGACGTAGGGTTGTTCCCAGCCCACCACGGACGCTTGGTTCCAGGCGAAGGAGAAGAGGATGAGACCCGAGATGCCGAGGACAGATCCGATGTAGTCAAATTGCTTGATGCTGAGTCCGGGAATTGGCGAGCCCACACTGTGAGGGACAATGAAATACGTCACCACGCCGAGGACGAGGCAGCCAATGGCCCAGAACCAGAATCCCCATCGCCAGGTGACTTTCTCGGCAAAGGCAGCGCCGATGAGTCCTCCGAAGATGTAACCCGAAGGCGCGCAGAACCCGAGGAAAGCAAAGGCAATGTTCTTCTTGACCGAAAATGGTGGGAATGCACGCGCCAGGAGGGCGAATGAGTTGGGAACCAGTGCGCCGTTGCCAATGCCAGTCATCCCGCGAGCAATGTCGAAGAGAATCACATCTTTGGCAAAGCCGCTGACCAGAGACCAAAGTGCCATCCACATCCATCCGAAAAGGAACACATACTTGTGGCCAAAGTGGTCACCCAGTCGTCCAGTCACCAGAACAAAGACACCTCCGCAGAGAGAGTATGCGGCCAGGAACCAGGACATCTGACCATTGCTTGTGGCGTTCAGCGAGTGAGCAATTTCTTGTACTGAGAAAGCTGCATTTCCAAGACCGCCAACGGAGAAGAGCTGCGATAAGCCGATGACAAAGATGAAGAGCGCCTCTTGGAAGGTCGATGAGAAAGCGGATGGAGGACCTCCATCGTCTGGTTCGCCAGCACCGCCAGGTCCTGACATTAGGTCGTTGGGTCTGTCGACTTCCTCTTTGCTAATGGGTCTGCTGCTAAGCATCGTAGACCCGTCGGGAGAAGACATGATGATTTCGATCGTCTGTCAGTGTGCGCAGCCTGTGTGACAAAGAAGGAATGACTGTTTAGGTCAGGCTTAACTAAGGTATCTGGGTAGGACAAGACGGACGGGGCGTGGAGAGGAATAATAAGAGTGTTGTGACGTTGGGCTTATAACCCATTTTAAATTCTGTATTTTGTGATCTATTTGTCATATTTTCTTCTCAGGGATGGAGGTTTGGCAAGATCCGGAGGGAAACCGTGGCCAGCAAACATTAGGGATGGCGTTGAAAGTCCGCGGACTCTGGCCAAAAGTCCGATCGCAGCGTTTATGCCGACCGGCTGAAGGTCAAGGATTTCTGCCAGTTCTGCAGGATCCGCCGTCCTAATTTGATTATTGGTAGAAAATAATGAGCTTAATCGATACTATAGATTGTGTCTTCAGAGACTCGCACGTCACTCGAAGTCGGAGTTTCGTTAACCTTGGCCTTTCTGTATATCTCCGGCTTCTTCAGCCCTGCCCCTTGATATGGTCGCCTGAGGCTGCTACGTAACTTCCGATCTTTTCCCTCGGAGCTGATGGGTCTCAGCCATGGCAGGAAGTTCCTTTCGAAGTCTCTTTATAATTATATGTTAGTTAGTTACTATATTCTAACTTGTTATTCATATAATAACCTTCTCCAACAACATATCCATTGGCTGAGATGCATCAACGCCGGTACATACTTGGTGAGAATATGTGGTTGCAGATGACGAAGCCTCGTTTTTTTGGTCGCGTGTCAAGTTCCTGCTGATTAATGGTCCTGGCAATCATGTGATTGCCACGTAAACACAAACCACCCTTGTAAAAGTTTCGATCCACGTCACTAATTTCGACTGCTTTACAACTGCACCTACCATGGCTGCCCTCTCGACCAACGTAAGTTTTTATTGTTTAAAAACCGATAAACAAGTGATTAGAATGCAGAATCTAATTAGTCGATACAGAAGTGGTACAACCGCTACTTGAGTGAGGTGGCTAATGGATGCCTGGAGCTGCCTGTCTACGAAAAGGTGAGTCTCAGTGTCGCCTCACCTTACTCCTAACTAACCACTTACCAACCACTTTCCAACTGTTTAGAATGATGATGGCTCGATCAAGATTTACTATGGGGAGCTCTTCTGCCGTGTGCCTGACTGTTCAAAGGCCCAGGTGAGAATATTTTCAACTGATTTTATAGTCTCATCAACTGATTCTTGACTACTTAGAAAAAATATACTGCAACAAATAACCTTCGCACCCATATTGAAACTCATGAAGATGTGGAATTACAGGAAGGAAATATTGGTGGCCGTGCTGCACAGAAGACAGTTGATGAGGCTGTTAGTAAGTGGCTGTTGAGTGGTTTTGAACTGGCTTACAACTGGTTAACAACTGGTTAAAAATGGGTCAGAGTGGTACAAGGGGCTGTTTACAGGGGTTGAGCCTCAAGATGTTGGTGAAGTAAGTACTTATGCAAATTCCAACTCGGCGCGTGATGTGTGTGTGGATGCAAGTACTCCTCCACTTCCAGTAAAGAAAGATGGCACAGTAAGTAATCTAACTGCCCTTTAACTGCTTGGCAACAGCTTACTCAATACTTCGGTTCATATCACGAACATGCGCAAGAAGGTTGCTGAAATGGGGCACCATGTTCCTTGCAATTCCTGTGGAAATCGCAATGAATGCTGCAAGGATATAAATAAGTGTGACCACTTTATTCTTTTTGAATGTGGTAATATTCACACAGACCCTGCAGGTAAAGGCAAGGCACCCGTGAGATCTCCCCAACCTCTGCATAAGCGGTAAATCGGTCGACAATCACTTGCAAATCAGTTTACAAGTACTTTAGTTGAAATTAATTTGATATAGCTTGTTTTGAAGGAAAAACTAAAAAAATAATAAAACAGTTAATGAATGGTGACTAAATGATTAATTGTAAGGAATATTTTTTTTTTTTTCTTTTTTTTTTTTTTTCAGAAATCCGATCAATACGTATATATATCTTAACCGAACAGGATTAAGCAGGAATTGGTAGGAATTGGAAGGAATTAAGCATCTAAGTTACGCACCGTGACATCCGATCGCTTGCTAACAGCTTATAATTAAGGCAAGTAGACATATATATATGTGTGTGTGCTTGTTAAAGAAAAATAGAATGGTAGATAAAGATCGCTACATAAAACATTGTGGAACCACTTGTCAAGTACTTAGAAAGTGGTTACTAATCAGTCTGCTGTAGTTCTCAGAGTTGCATCCGTTGCCTCATAAGTTCTAGCTCTAATTGCTCATTTTGAAGCTGTTTTAAACGAACCTCTTCTTCTTTTCTTTTGATTTCTGCCTCTAAGTCTCGTAATTCCAGTTCTTGACGGCGTTGCTCAATTGTCAGAATATTTGCTGAAGCCACTCAGCGAAGACTCCGTGATGAGGTTGTAGATCTAAGTAGTTACAAGATAGTTAGTAATCACTAAGGTAGTAACTACTCAAAAATAATTTTTTTTAAAAAACAAACAAAAAAAAAAAAACCTTACTCATTATCAGCAACTTAAGAAGAGGACGATATCAACTGACGTTTTGAATTCGCACGCGGAATTTCAATATTTTGACACTCTGTTTCAGTTGTTGAAGAGGACCGCTGACGTTTACGGCTTCCTATATTCTTCATTAAGTACTTGCCAGCTGCTTAGAAAGTACTTAAAGTCACTTACTTTCCCAACTCATATAACGCAAATAATTTGCCTCCATTGTAGAAGCTCGATATGAATGATGAATATTGAACTGCTGAAAATTATTATACTGCAGAATATCATCTTTATCAAGTTTCGCAGAACTGAAAAGAGTTAGTTAGAATTCTGAAGTAGTTGTTAAGTGGTTAATAAATACTTTCGAACTGCTTCAACAAGTGTTAGATACTTTCCAGAAGCATATGACTTTTGATATGATTGCTCGACAGCATTCATATAATTTCGCAGAAGCTGAAAATAATATGACTAGATCTTTGAGCATGATTGATTTAAACCTGCCTTAATAACAGCAGATTTTTTGTGTACAGCCCAAGCCTGCACTGCCAGGGATTCATATTCTGATAAGCAGTTAGTAAGTAGTTGTTAAGTAGTTTACCAGTAATAAGATGCTTACTTATTAGCAGCTCAATCAACTCATCATACTCAGCCTCTGACTGGCAATCTAGGAGACTCATCATGCGACTCCAGAGGCCTGACCCTTTATTTTTTGTCCCGATTGCCTTTAAAATTGAGCGTTGAAAATGAACACGACAGAATACAATGATATGCTGTAAATGCCATATAGGGTCATGGTGCCGAGGATCAATTTCAGAAAGATATTAACCAAGCCCTGAGTACTTAGCGACTGGTTGGTAAACATTTCATAAGTGCTTACCTGTATACTGTTTTGTGTCCATGTCAACAATAATACCATGAATTCCAAATCCATGAATTGGATCAAATAGAACTGCCTGTCCAGAAACCTCTTCTATAAGATGAAATGCACGCTTGAATAGTAAATAGTAGCCCTCAGTGGAATCCTGGTTGGTGAACACTCGGAGTAGTGTGATAACTAGTCAACAAATGGTTAGCAAGTGGTTAATAAGTACTTGGTACACTTACTTTTGCATTGGTCTGGCATGAATGTCGCAAAAAGGACCTCATTTATGTCTTTAGATCGAATTCATTTAAAAGACATATCAACTTCAAATGAGGATAAAGCTGATAATAAACGAATCTGATCTTTGAAGGCACAAAACACCATTGTACCATAAGAATCATGATACTTCTGTTGAATATATTCCTAGTCACTTTTTAGTACTTGCCAACCAATTAACAAGTAGTTAATAACTACTTACCTTTACTAGCGGATCCCGGTTCTGTAGAAAGAGTAACCCGTTGATATCCTGTCCATTAGGATATGAAAGAAGTCGCTGCTTCTGAATAATAGTGGCAATTCTGTCTTTATTGCAGAAACTGGAGTGGATCTCTGCTAGTTAGAAGCATTATACTGCTGGCAGAATGCCTCCAATTGTGGGCTTCGAAGGAATTGTGCTAGTCTGATATAAGTATTTACAAAATAGTTATTAAGTGTTCTCTTATGCGTTGAATAATATTCTTCACCCCTTGCAGGATACGCTCTGGTGCCTTGCTAGGTGGTGGTGGTGGATGCTGATGAATACCATGCGATGTGAAAAGGATATATGGGCATTCATTAATATCAACAGGAACTAATGTAGTGAAAATAACACTACAAGGGGTGTGTTTTAATCTGCCTGGTCCTTGGAGGTGATCTCGATCTTATAAGCAGTTAGTAACCAGTTGATAATCAATAGTGAAGTACTTACCACAATATTTTCGTCGGGACGCTAGTGATTTAAATACACTGCAATCTTCAGCTGCTGGCATAATATTTCTGTTAAAAAGGTCCTCAAGAAATTGTAGATCAATCAATGTATGGCCTTGAACAGATCCTCTATGATGTTTTGTTAAAAACTCATCAGATCCATTACTGCAGCCAATATATGGTGGGTATTCGCCATGTACATCCTGTAAGTAGTTAGCAAGTACTTAATAAGCATTTGAGAGGATTCCGATTAACCATTTGAGTATGCTGCTTAAAAACTGGCTTGCAAGTTAGAAGTTGGTTAATACATGCATGACCCCTCTTGAAGAATTCCATTTTTGACTGATAGTAACTAGAAGTACTTAGTAGCTGCTTAGGAAATGCTGAAAAGGAGGTTACATACCTATACACATTGCGTTTTCCAATATCTTTCTCCAGCAATTGAATATCTTCCTGAGATTTTCGAATAATATTCCAACAATTCTCATCAACGAATGTATGATGATAGGATCGAAGAAACGAATTTAGATATTCACATGCATAGATACCGGAGCATTTCCAAGTCCATCTTTTAACCAAACAGTTAAAAAATGGGCACTTAACTGGTCGCCTTAGCCCATGCTGTTGTCGCCGTGAATATTAAATCTTTAACTGATTAGAAAGTGTTTGGAAGACAGTTATCAAGTACTTTACGTTACCTCATGAACAAGCTGCTCCATTTCGCTCTGTGATCGTCCTCTGGATGCAACAACATATGAATATCCATGAATATGACTTGTTGGATACTCTGGTAAGTCATCAATGTATTCAATTTTTGATGTCTGAAGAGGATGGCTTTTTGAAATTGTAAGTTGTACTGGAATGCCCTATTTTCATATTAAGTGGTTAGTAACCAGTTAATAAGTGCTCAGACAGATATAAATACCTCAATATTGTTATGTTGCTCTGGGCTTGACTCAGTCAAGTCATCAGAACCAACGATTTCTTGTTGAGAATCCATACTAGAAAAGCGAATAAGCAGTTAGGAAGCAGTTGGAAATTTGCTTACAACTCAAAGACAGGAAAATGGAACGGAAATTGAAATTCAGAGGAATCTGTTTTGTTTTTTAAGTAGGTCGCGTGTCACGTTCCTGGCTTGGCAGTCACGGGTGGGGGATGAGGGTCACGCGTCCACGTTTTTTAGGTGGCGTGATCTGTGTACACGTGAGAATATTGTGGTTGCAGATGAGTCAGGGTCGTTATTTGGGTCGCGTGAGTGGTGTCCGCTTATGTAATTACCTGAGCAATCATGTGATACTCGCATGACACTTTACCTTCCCCAAAAAGATTTCATCACGCACAACCACTTTCGCAGCATTTACAACGCCCTCACAAAAATCCTCATGGCCTCGCTTGCCACGAATGTAAGTTTTTATTAAGAATTAATGAATAACTGATTCCATTGCAGACATCTAATTTTCTATTTCAGAAATGGTATATCAGGTATTTGAGTGAGGTGGCTGACGGTCGCCTCGAGCTGCCCCCCTACGAAGAGGTGAGCCTTAATTTTACCTTGCTTAAATATCACCTAAATGGTTTCTGACTGCTTAAAAACTGCTCAGAGGGAGGATGGCTCGATCAAGATCTACTACGGGGAGCTCTTCTGTCGGGTGCCGGACTGCTCGAAGTCGCGAGTATGGATCTTTAACTAATACTCAAGTATTTGCTAATCAGTTGTTAATCATTTAGAAAAAATACACCGCAACCAATAACCTTCGCACTCACCTTGAAACTCATGGCGATATTAAATTGCAGGAGGGAAATAGTGGTGGCTGGGTGCCCCAGAAGACAGTCGATGAGGCTACAAGTAAGTGGTTATGAAGTTGCTGTAAGCCGATTACTAAACACTTAGCAACTGCTTAGAATGGTACAAGCGGTTGTTCTGTGCGGTGGACCCGCAGGATGGTGGCGGAGCAAGTACTTCTGCAGATACTCACTTCATTTGCGCTATGTCTGTTGATGCAGGTACCCCTTCTTTACCAGTGAAAAAAGATGGCACTGTAAGTAATATTTG